ACTGTATTTTAAAGTTACAAAGCTTATGGGGTCTGGACATATCCGGAAGATGTTGTTTTGAACTTGGTTGTGGCCATGAATATGGATTCCTGGTTGGTGGTTTGGAACATTTTTCATTTTTCCATAGATTGGGAATGTCATCATCCCAACTGACGAACTCCATCATTTTTCAGAGGGGTAGTTATACCAACCACCAACCAGATTCCATGTTTAATTTAGGAGTCCTAGTAATACGTAGTGACGTAGTGGTTCATTACTTGGCAGATGGGAACACAGACTAACCAGCTGGGGATGGTTGGGGGAATCGGAAATCCAATTTGGATGTCATGTTGATGCATCCCCAACTGCTCCAAATTCAGCTTTGATATATTAATATATTAATGGTTGGTGATGAGGTGGAGTTTGATATTTTTAAGATATTAATATATTAATGCATCCAATTAATGGTTGGAGTCTTTTGCTTGTTTTGATATATTCATTGATTGGTGATGAGAGACGCAGACATTTGAATTTGGAAATGACAAGGTCGTCGATTGTGGAGATTTCAAACTCGTCAGGAAGTGGAGGTCCAACAAATTGTAGATTCCAACATGTCATGTCCAAATCATTTGGAATCAACAAGTTGGAGACTACAAACTAGGAATTCCACTGACCCTCTGATAAATAAACAGTTGGACCCTGAAAATCACTAATTTTTTTCATGGTTTCATTAATCTTCCAACCCCGATGACTGCCAGGGTCGAACTGTTAATTTACTGGAGGGTATATATCATTATAAACCCATTTATATCCATTATTATTCCATATAAAACCGTATTATTCCCATATAAAAGCCATATTCCTAAAGATTATCTCCAGGGTATGTTGATTCCAAACTTGTTGATTCCGAAGTGTGGAGATTTCCACCTTTCATTGGGCGACTCAACTGTCGTCAGTAAAACCAACCACTGTCGGACGTCGCCACTCGTTTGGTTTCAGCCATCGAAAAATCCGGCGCGGGATCTTCCCACTGAGGGATCTAAGTGATTTTTATGACCATCGAAGGTTCATCCATTTAGAGATGGAACAAGCCACTTGGAGAACTTACGATCAGTAAGTTATAGAAAGTTACAGATGGAATCCATTTCTTTTATTTGGGTCATCATTGGGAAAATAGATGAAATATGACCATTATAGATAAATGAATGATCCTTTTCCCACGAACTAAATGGAAAACTAAATGGAATAATATATTATTTGGGTTATCATCCATTTGAAAAAGACACGTGATTTGTGGGATGATCCTCTCAGCAGCTGCACAGGATGTAGCTATGGTGCACTTGGGAGACGTGCGCAGGATGCAAGAAGAGCTGGGTGCACCCAGCTAGGAACACGTGGTGGGAGTGAAAAATGCGGAGTTAAGGGAAGAATTTCATGGGGATTTATATAATGTGATTTTACCATATTTTATCAGCAAATGGTGCTTCATCACCTTTTGCTGAACAATCCAATTTTTGATGTTTTTTTTTGAAACCTGTGGTTTTCGGGCGATAAACTGCCATGTTTCATCACTCCTTATAGTTTAGTGGGCATTGGTCAAAAGTTTTTTTTGACCCAGGGATTTCCCGTGTGATTTTGAGTATTGACATGTATTCAATGGGAGATCTTCAGGATCCTAAAATAGAGGTACGTTAGTACCATATGTTTGGCCATATTTTGTGGCGATATTCCCTGAAATTTAGGCCTTACATAGGCCTTACATAGGCCTTATATATGGTAGGTACCTCCAATTTAGGTTCCTGAAATGGCCGTTGATCCTATGTTCAGGCTATCCAATTTTGACTCATACCCACATGACCGAGTTTGGTGAAGTCACAGTGCCAAATTAATGACTTGATTCCTACTAATTCTGGCTGATTTGATGTGTAAAGATCCAAATGTTGATGGTTGAACAAGAACAAACACATTGTTTGTATATTTTTTTGTGTGGCAAAACCCACCATGTTTCATGACTTTCTTGTAGTTCAATGAGCATTTTTCTTGACCAATCGAGGTCCTATGAGAAGTTAGTGCTTTCTGACTGGCCTCAAGACGAGGCTTTGGTCACTTGGTCACCGCGATGGGGAAACCTTTCGGATTCCCCCGACTGGATGGGTATCTGGGTCATCTTTAGATGATTTTGTTTGGGATTTGTTTCATGGGGATATAAACTGACCAAGTTAAGGCTATTAACTGTTGCTAGAGGTATCACATATCCTTACCGTAATTAAACTTAGAATCTAAGGAAACCCTAACAACGTTTCACCATCTTTCACCAACAAGAATAGGGATATTTCATGGGGGTATAAATCAAGTTATGGGGATTTAGCCAATAATTAATGGATATTCCCATGACATGAACTGGGAAACGATTAGGTAGATAATTTAGTACTTTGATCTTAGCTACAAGGTGATTTCCCAGTTTGCAATCACTAAGTTACTAGTGTAAGCCCATAATGACTGTTGGTTTTGTGGTAGATATGGTGAACTAGTGTCTGTAATGGATGTTACTGGGGGGTGTACACCACAACTGGGTGGCATCAATCCATGGGTAGTTCGGCAACATCAACGGAGGATTTGGGGTGGTAAATCCTTCTTCGTGTCACTTCCTTTGTCGCATATTTCAACGCAACATCACGCAACAAAATGCAAGACGTACCCCAATTTGACACACACACAGATATATATATATATATATATTATACATTATATGTATGTGTGTATAAATAATACTGGATGGTGGTTTGGAACATCTGTTTTTCATATATTGGGAATAATCATCCCAACTGACTCATATTTTTCAGAGGGGTTAAAGCATGTTAAAACCACCAACCAGAATACATATCATCTCTATATTGAACACAGTTATGGCCATTTACCAGTTATAACTGGTTATAAATGGGATTATACATTCTATAAATGGGGTTATAAGTACTTATAACTAATAAATGGCCATAACTGCATGTACCATTTATAGATGATGTTTTCCATCCATACCTCCATTTCGAATTCACCATGATGGCACACTCTGGACCTCCGTCTTTACAGATGCTGGGGTTGACGTTGACCCCAAGGGATATCCTTCTGGTTGTGTCATGCTTCGATGAAATGACCGCAGATGGTGTATTCCCCTAGGGTTTTTGAATGTTTTTGACAAAGCCGCAGGGTGATGCACCCCGTGTTTGTTGGTTTATGTTACCCTCAGTAACTAGTTTGATATATCTACCATAAACTGGACAGTTGTTGGACTTATGTTTGCCAGCTTAGCCAACATTATTAGCTTAGCCAACATTAGTCACACATCAATCCCAAGTTTGGCAGGCCAACTGTATCCGGATTCTTGCCGATAACTATTCTATCAATTTATATCACCATATTGTGGTGCTATGTTTTACCCTTTGGTAAACGTTTACATAACGCACTGGAAAATCACCATGTTTCATGGCTAAATCCACTATTTCTATGGCCATTTTCCAGTTTGTTTTTTCTATGTTGACCAGGCCGGGTGTCAGCATTTCGGATCCGTGGCACCAACGTTTCGGCGTGCCGGGCTGCTGGGCCCCAAGGTCAAAAGTTCCCGCGCCACGCCACGAGAGCTGGCGGAAGCCACTAGTGGCAACCACTACTTGGTCCTGGAGCGCGGCAGAATTTCAGGGTGGTTGCCGGTCACAAACTCCTGGAAAACGTAAGAGAAAACAATGGAAATTGGTGTGTCTTTGTAGCAATTAGTAGTATATAGTTTTTCGTGGATGAAATAGGATAAATAAATATTGTATAATTATATGGGTCATTATTTTTTTAAGGGGTGCACATTTATGAAGAGGTGTGAGGTTCGACTTGTCCGAATCATACCCCAACTCAAACTTCACCAGCGGGCCTCCTTATTTTGAGAAGTACGCATATATAGAGATAGAGATCTACACATACGTAGTGTGTGTGTTTGTTTCTTGGTCTAACGTACGTGTAGTATTTGCATTTAACAAGAATATTCAATCCGATCCACATTTTGACATGGACAATGGACAGTGAATGTAAAGACACATGGGGATCCAACCCTGAAAAATGAGTAACGGGCATTTACTCACTGAGAAAAATAACATGAAGACATCTATATACCCATCGTCAGAGTGCAAGCCCAGAAAGCCTGGGGAAACAAAGCAAATTGGAAACATTGTGGTCCAACTCATTTTAAAAAAAAGGAGATTTACCTCGGGAACAAGGATTCCAGAATTCCTCGGAGCGAGCTTTTTGGAACCGAGCATTTGATGACCAAGTTGCATCTCCCAGTCCCATTTGGTTTCCATGTTATTGCAATGGTTTCAAGGTGTGGGATCTCGTGTGTTTTTCTTTTAGCGCACTGGTGGTTTCACCATTTCCACAGTTATGGCCCGAAATGCCAGTTATTTGTTAGTCATTGTTAGTCAGTAAGTCATTCCATTTATATAAAATTTATGGAATACTGTAAACATAAGCAATAGCAATAAAGATAGCTGCATTCAAGGGCTCCAACAGTAGGATTGACCACCAATAAACCACTAAAAATCCAAAATTCATGGCTAAATCCCAGCATGTCTTAGATGATGATCCCATGCCAATCGACTTTGATAGGTGGACTTTGTTTCCAAGTGAGCTTTGTGACCAACATCCGCCAGGGGTTGCGTTGCACTATGTTGCACTATTTTGCGGTTAACCCCTACGGACAAGAATCTAAATCCGGGTCAATCCTATTATTTGCAGTTGGATAGTGCAGTTAACTAGTACATTCTCATGAACTATATATTCTTGCTACCCTCATCAACCCCAGATGCTCCATGTATAGTATATTTACCTACATTTGGCTCATTTATGCGGTATATAAATGTTGGTAAATCTTCCATACATGGAGCATATGGGAAATAAACCAGTCAATTTCTATCAGGGAATTGGTTTGAACGCTAACTGCATCGGCGAAGGAAGATCGCTCTGGAAGTTGGTCCAAAGTCATGTCCTTCTTCCGCTTGCCATCTTCCAAGGCGGGGGCTGAGTCGCCGATGGTGCTTGCACCATGTTTAACAGGTCAATCAACGAACTAATGCCAACCCCGGATTAATAAACCATGGTTGATTAATTAGAGGGGTACTCCTCCACTAGTCATTTCATCTAATACTTAGTCATGGTACCCTCCCAATGAAACAGCCTAGGGATGCCGTAAACGGGGTTTATTAATCCAGGGTTGACAGTTTCTATGGCCAATTTCAATAGCAAACTCTTAGTCATTACCAATAACTATGGAAAATCACCATGTTTCATGGTAAAATCCACTTTTTCTATGGTCAATTTCAATAGCAAACTCTTAGTCATTGCCAGAGGGTATCTGAAACGGAGATTTGCTAAGCTTTTGGTCACGAAACGGTGGTGGATCCTGGGATTCGCCACCAACTGCAAAAACCGTTTTCCCCAACAAAAACGCACAAAAAAACATGGCAGACATGTCTCAAAAAAATATTTTGGTACTCTGGTTTGTGCTTCATCAAAAAAATGGGAATCGATGATTTTGCTTGGTTCATTTTAATCATGGGACCATTTATCGCAACTCCAAGCTATCCAGTCATCTAGTCTGGTATGAATCAAGCCAGTGCCTCCAGGTGCTATGGAAATGGGTCCGTGCCAGCAACGGATTTGGAACATTAAGATCTTGAATTGAAATGGTTTTGCTCCTAAATTACGTCTCAAGGCGATTTAAAAACGCCAACTCCCTTACTTGTGGATGGTTTGTAAGCATTCGCACAGTCAGAACATGTTTGGTTCAAGCATGTTAACACCTTTATCATTGAATGCCCAGATCTGGAAGACCAAACATACTTTGAGCCATTCAAGCCAAGCGAAAGTTCATTGCTGTTTTCGCGTTTTGTTCAAGGTTGGTTCACCAACCTTAAACAGATTCTGTCAATCCAACATCTGCAAGGAACCCTTGTGTTGGGACGAAGAAAGAGCCATGATCTCCTGCAGATTTTCGCTTTAAAACCTCTTGAGTTAAGCGATGAAGAATTCCACATAGATTGGGCCATGGTTGGCTAAATGACTAGCAAGTGGATTGTACAAAGTGTGGGTCCCTGGATAGCTAAGTTTACTTTTAACTCTATGAATTCTATGGTTTATGGGGAATACACAGTAACAACTTATAACAAACCAATACTACTTATTTGCTTGGCTATGATTCATTAGGGGGAATAGAACAATACTTCCTGAGGTTCACAAAGCAACAAACATCATTTTCCTATGATTTTCCTCTGCTTTCACCTGGTATCCTATGACATTGCTGTGTGGGGATCCTGAGCTCATGGATGTTGATCCCAATACACGGTGGGGGACCCCTTGGTGGTGCCCCTACAAGGTGGTGCCCCAGTTGGGAATAGCGAAGTTGGCGAACATAACTACAATCACTGTTGGCTTTATGGTATAGATATATCACATTGATGTCATGATATATCGAACTATTTGTTCCACTAGTTCCTATATAGATCCTATAGTTATAAACTATCATTGTTGGTAATTTTATACCTGCGGGGGGCACCACCTATACGGTATAACCAACCGGTGAGTCGGTGGTTCGTCGCTGGCGAAACCCGGACGAATCGGTCGCAGGAGATTCGGCTTCCCAGTTCCTACAAAGGTTACTTGAGGCCAGGCGAAAGTACGCATTCTTCGGATTCGCGACATCAAAGTTGGTTGATTGGGTATCCACTAAAGCATTTATAATATATATATATATATTATTGTTATTATTATTGTTATTACCCATTATTATAATTATTTATTTTATTATTTTTATTATATATTATTATTATGTAATATAGTACGTATATATGATTATATGTTATTAATAGACTTACTATTATCACAATTCATTATCATTAGTGTTTCTTTAGATATTTCAAGGTCCTCTGAAGATTATAACATCAACTACGCCTCCGAAGTAGATTAGGCAAATCTGATCAGGACCCAGTGGTTCGATTGACAGGGTTTGAGGGTTCCCAGCAGTCTCCTCAGGAACATCTCTGACTATCTTGGATCATAAATGGAGCTGGAGAAAAAAAACAAAGGTGGGCCATGATTAGTCACTGAACTAGCCATGGTTTGTACTGGTCTTCCACTCCCATGCCTAAGATGTCATGATGATGTCATGTAATCTAGAATTATTTCCCTTTCCCAGTTGTAAGTCAGTTATAATTATGAACCCATTGCAGTTATAACTGACTTATAGTAAATGGAAATAATTCTAGATTATTAGTTAACTTACCCGGCTTACCCATTATAACTACCAGTTATAATTATTACTATTGGTTTCGAAGCATCTATCGAAGCATCTATAGTAGATAGATGGGTATATTTACTACAAAGGTATTATGCAATTTGGTATTATTACTATTATACAAATGGGTATTATACCAATATGTAGTATAGTATATACCCATTACTCCGAAACAAATAGCATCATTTGTAGATAAAGGGCACTGTAGTCCCCAACGAAAACCCCAATCAAGTCCATGAGAAATTTGTTACCACGAGGCCAAAAGGGGTACCAGTCCAAAAATACGGCTAGGATGGGCCAGTGAAATCCACCACCAAAAGGATAGTTGAACCCCCAAAAACCTCTGGTTATGTCAAAATAACTATGGACAATCACCATTTTTCATGGGAAAAAATCACTTGTCCAGTCATACCCTATGGTAAATTAACATTGCGAACTGGAAAGATCCGCCATGCTATTAATAGGTAAACCATCTATTTCGGTTAGGGCCAGTTGGTCCATAAGAAACTGTGAGTTGTAACTGGAGGGTAACTGGAGCTGTGAAGGCACAAAAAAAAAAACACTGATTTAGACCTTGATATTTTTAGTGAAAGTCAACTATAGTTATGAAACATACTAACCTGGTTGGTGGTTTGGAACATGATTTTTGTTTTTTCCATATATTGGGAATAGTAATATATAGTAATCCCAACTGACGAACTCATATGTTTCAGAGGGGTAGGTATACCACCAACCAGTAACTATAGTTTGGATTCTGCCGCGTGCAACATTGGCAGTCAGCAGTAGGATCAGAAAACATCACGCTGCTGGCATTAGCGTGATTGGGATGCCCCAACGTATTCCCCAAAATCGGTTCAATTGATGTTCACACCATCATTGCACTCACCATTTTTCGTGAAAGACCACCATATTTCACACTTCAAACCGCCATTGTTTATCATGTCGCTTGAATCACCAGTGTTGATCCATGTTTCACCAGGTTTACCCTCTGGATTTTTCACATAGCTACTGATTTACCTAGTAAACATGTAGATTTCCAGTTCGTTATGTTACGTTGGTTTACCCTTATTAAAACCTCTATCTATCACCATAGAAATAGATGATGCACCTCTTAAACTGATAATTTTCCATGGCTAGGCTGCGCTGGCGTGGTGGCGTGGTGCATCTCTTACAGTGGAACTCACCTTTGCTGCCGCTCGGTCCATGGGCCGGGGATGAAATCCCATGGAAATCAGCTAGGATATCCCATGGAAATTCATCAATTTATCATTTTCCTACGGTGAAATCACCATTTTCCAATGGTTTCTATTGGTGTACCCTCTGGTAAACATACAAAAAGCTATTGAAAATTGCCATTTATAGTCTTAGTGGATTTTCCCATTCAAAATGGTGATGTTCCATAGTTCCCTTAGCTTACCAGAGGGTAACCAAAACTGGGATAGACAGCTGCGGCAATCCATGCTTCTGTCAAAAACCTGCGAAATGTTCTTTTCCCGGATCGAAAATGGATAGTCTTCAAACTGGGATGGCAAGAAACGAATTGTATGTTAGTAACCATTTAACTATACTTTGATAGGATTTACCAAAAAACTAGGATTTATATGAAAAATATATGTGATATTATGGGATTATGGGATTTTTTCATGGATCTAACACGCGAAACAAGGGATTTGGTGCGGGAAAATGTGATGAACGATCAATGATCAACGAATTGGATTTAGATGGGGTTGTACTGGAACAAATAAGGAAGTACCCTCTGGACATTTACCCTCTGGTAAACAAACATAGCTGTTGAAAATCACAATTTTTAATGGGTAAATCAACTATTAATAAATTGCAATTTTCAATAGCTATTTTGACATAACCAGAGGGTATACCCTAGTTTTGGTGATTTAGATGGGTAATTCACCAGCAAAAAACTATTGAACATGGCCATTGAGATAGTGAGTTTTCCAATTAAAAATTGTGATTTTCCATAGTTATGTGACAGTTTACCAGAGGGTACTCATGTTTACTCCATGCTTTCAAGGTGTCCAGCTTTTCTATCTATTTGGTGGGAAAAACATGCCTGACATGACATGATATAATCTGGTTGGTGGTTTGGAACATGAATTTTATTTGTCCATTTAGTTGGGAATGTCACAATCCCAACTGGCGAACTCATATTTTTCAGAGGGGTAGGTATACCAAGCACCAACCAGATGACATGATATTATTGCTTGGTAAATGGGGATGATTTACATGTATTGAATTGTATTGATATATGATATGGGATGATTTACCAATATTACCAAAACCACCAACCAGTACAAGGTGGTGCCCCCCCAGTTATAAATTGGTTATAAGCCCATTAACTATAGATATATCACCTATAAACCATAGTTATTGGAGTTATAAACCAACTTAGCTAACTATGGGGCACCACTTTGTATAATGACAAGTTTATTTTGGAATTGACTTGGTTCATCCCGCAGCTTGGTAAGCCCCCGATTTGTGGCTGGGTCCCAGCCCAGTTGTTCAACTCAACTCAGTTGCTGGGTCAATATGTGTTGATGTGGGCGCCCCGTTTGTTAGCTCAGTTGGTACCTAGTCCAACAATCAGGCTATGATAGGTATGTCTACAGTGAAAACCGGGGCTTTTTTAACCAACTTATGACTCGAATGGGGGATTTATAAAATGAGGATGTGAAACATCAGTGATTGCACCACCAAACACAGGGGTGCGACTAGGGAGTGGAATCATGGTGATGGGCCAGGGGATTTTCCAAGGGATTTTAAGGACCCGATGCCATGATCCTACCACATTCCTACACTGGGGATGGTTGATACCACCATATTACCCTTCCTGGTAAACATAGAAAAAACTATTGAAAATGGCCCAGTCGAAATAGTGGATTTTCCCATCAAAAATGGTGCTTGTCCATAGTTTTTTGTAGGTTTACCAGAGGGTATGCCATAAAAATATGGTGATGACTTGGGGATGGTAACTATGGCAGGAATGACCACATGACGGTGCACAAAAGTTCGGAGGAATGGCCTTCTTCGTGGCCAAAAATCGATCCCACAAGAATCACATGGACCTCATCGCCCAAAGTGACTGTGATGTTTTCGGAGACGGCCGAACCAACAACCAAGATCAACCTGATTTGATTATGAATACGTGTGTTCATGTTTTCGTTCCACGGTTTTTTTCCCCACCGCATCATGCACTTAAATGATATAATTAGACTGGTTTGGTGCATCCCGTGGCTTCCTCAATTTGCTGAACAAGCAAGTTGGCCTTCGTGCGCAAACATGCACCATGGCCTCTGCTGCGCCATTAGCCTGGTGATCACCTGCTGGTGTAGGCTCCAAATGAACCACAATTCTCAGGCCAGCGCAAGCTTTTCGAACTGCTTCTGCAAGGGATGTAGTGCTTGGCTCACAGTCACACTTGATGTTGAGTTCCGTTTGACCTGTTTGAACAATGAACCTGCTCATTTCTGTTACCAAGTATTGGAAACTGCGACCGCCCTTTTGTTGTGTTGGCAGTGCTGCACACATGTTGGTATCCCTGTCATGCACCAGTGCAGTCAGCTTATCCTCTTCATCTTTCATGCGACTGCAGCAACCGAGCCCGCCTGAGGGCTGGAAGAAGTGGCTGTTGGAGCAGAGACCGGTGCCCCTACAACTCCAAGCCTAGCGACAGCTGGCATCCTCTGCCATGGTCCAGGGGAAAAAGGGACCCAGTTGGGCAGATATGCTTGCTGTGCGTGAATGTTCACTCACTTGGCAAATGGGACGTGAAAGTGGGTAACCTGCGGAAATGCGGGGCGCACTTCAAGGCCAACCTGAGGCCTTGCACTTGTCCCTTGTCAAGTCTCTGTCTCTCCCATTGTTGCTTGTGGAAAGTAAGTTAAAGCAAAGGTAGCAGCTTTGTCACTTGTCCTATCCTGAGACATGGTTTCAACTATCGTATTGACAGCCGCATAGGCCGCGTATAGGCCTTGTTCTGCTCAAGTGTTTCAAGTGATTCAAGTGGCTTTAAGGATTGGCTTGAGGTTGACATTCGCATTGACATTCTAAGGTGGCAACAGGCATAATGTAGGTTACTGATTAGTGTGGGGAGGCCCCCCCCCCCCCCCCCTACACAATTTGGGTTACAGAATAGGTGTGGAACAAACAAATAACCGGTTACACGAATACACGGTCAAATCAAAAAAAATGATAGATTTAAATTGAAAAAAAAAGTTTCAATTTATTTTGAATTGATTTCAATTTAATTACTTTCAATTGATTTGAATTTATTTTGAATTGATTTGAATTTATTTTGAAATGAAAATGATTTCAAATTACTTTCAATTGCTTTGAATTTATTTTGAAATGATTTCAATTTACTTTCAATTGATTTCAATTTTTTTGAATTGATTTCAATTTACTTTCAATTGATTTCAATTTATTTTGAATTGATTTCAATTTACTTTCAATTGATTTCAATTTACTTTCAATTGATTTCAATTTATTTTGAATTGATTTCAATTTACTTTCAATTGATTTGAAGTTACTTTCAATTGATTTGAAGTTACTTTCAATTGATTTCAATTTACTTTCATTTGATTTCAATTTACTTTCAATTGATTTCAATTTACTTTCAATTGAATTCAAGTTACTTTCAATTCATTTCAAGTTACTTTCAATTGATTTCAATTTACTTGCAATTGATTTCAATTTACTTTCAAGTAAAAGAAAAAAAACAATCACCTCAGGAAGCAGCTGGACACAATAGTGTACCCCCAAACAAACCATACTATTGTGTATCAGGGTTGCTCATGGACTACCCCCTTGAAAAATTGTTTGAGTGATGTTTTTTAATTGGGTTTTAATAAGGCATCATATATTTTGGGAAATTGAGCATTTCTGAGAATTCTAAATAAAAGAAACTAATTGAGAAAATAAAAGAAAAAAACTTTAGCAAAGGAAAATGTAAAGGGAATGTAAAAAAACAAAATCACCTCAGGAAGCAGCTGGACACAATAGTGTACCCTCAAACAAACCATACTATTGTGTATCATGATCATATTCATTTCAAGTTACTTTCAATTGATTTCAATTTACTTGCAATTGATTTCAATTTACTTTCAAGTAAAAGAAAAAAACAATCACCTCAGGAAGCAGCTGGACACAATAGTGTACCCCCAAACAAACCATACTATTGTGTATCATGATCATTCATGTTTTTTTTGCTTGGCTGAAACTAATCCTTTGGAAAGCCTTTGGTTTTGATTCCAAGAAAAATGAAGCTAAGTAAAAGGAAACAAACTTTAGCAAAGGAAAAGGAAAAGGAAATGGTTGAAAAAAAAACATAACCTCAGGAAGCAGCTGGACACAATAGTGTACCCCCAAACAAACCAGACTATTCTGTATCAGGGTTGCTCATGGACTACCCCCTTGAAAAATTGTTTGAGTGATGTTTTTTAATTGGGTTTTAATAAGGCATCATATATTTTGGTAAATTGAGCATTTCTGAGAATTCTAAATAAAAGAAACTAATTGAGAAAATTAAAAAAAAACTTTAGCAAAGGAAAATGTAAAGGGAATGTAAAAAAAAAACAAAATCACCTCAGGAAGCAGCTGGACACAATAGTGTACCCTCAAACAAACCATACTATTGTGTATCATGATCATTCATGTTTTTTTTGGTTGGCTGAAACTAATCCTTTAGAAAGCCTTTGGTTTTGATTCCAAGAAAAATGAAGCTAAGTAAAAGGAAACAAATTTTAGCAAAGGAAAATGTAAAGGGAATGTTTCAAAAAAATCACCTCAGGAAGCAGCTGGACACAATAGTGTACCCTCAAACAAACCATACTATTGTATATCATGATCATTCATGTTTTTTTTGGTTGGCTGAAACTAAACCTTTGGAAAGCCTTTGGTTTTGATTCCAAGAAAAATGAAGCTAAGTAAAAGGAAACAAACTTTAGCAAAGGAAAAGGTAAAGGGAATGTTTCAAAAAAAATCACCTCAGGAAGCAGCTGGACACAATAGTGTACCCTCAAACAAACCATACTATTGTATATCATGATCATTCATGTTTTTTTTGCTTGGCTGAAACTAATCCTTTGGAAAGCCTTTGGTTTTGATTCCAAGAAAAATGAAGCTAAGTAAAAGGAAACAAACTTTAGCAAAGGAAAAGGAAAAGGAAATGGTTGAAAAAAAACATAACCTCAGGAAGCAGCTGGACACAATAGTGTACCCTCAAACAAACCACACTATTCTGTATCAGGGTTGCTCATGGACTACCCCCTTGAAAAATTGTTTGAGTGATGTTTTTTAATTGGGTTTTAATAAGGCATCATATATTTTGGTAAATTGAGCATTTCTGAGAATTCTAAATACAAAAAATTAATTGAGAAAATAAAAAAAGTTTTAGCAAAGGAAAATGTAAAGGGAATGGAAATCCCATAGAAAGATCATAGAAATAACATGGAAATCCCATAGGAATCTCACAGAAACCCCATAGAAAGATCATAGAAATAACATGGAAATCCCATAGGAATCTCACAGAAATCCCGTAGAAAGATCATAGAAATAACATGGAAATCCCATAAGAATCTCACAGAAATCCCATAGAAAGATCATAGAAATAACATGGAAATCCCATAGGAATCTCTCATAGAAATAACATGGAAATCCCATAGAAAGATCATAGAAATAACATGAAAATCCCATAAGAATCTCACAGAAATCCCATAGAAAGACCATAGAAATAACATGGAAATCCCATAGGAATCTCACAGAAATCCCATAAGAATCTCACAGAAATCCCATAGAAAGATCATACATGGAAATCCCATAAGAATCTCACAGAAATCCCATAGAAAGATCATAGAAATAACATGGAAATCCCATAAGAATCTCACAGAAATCCCATGGAAAGATCATAGAAATGGAAATCCCATAGAATCTCACAGAAATCCCATAGAAAGATCATAGAAATAACATGGAAATCCCATAAGAATCTCACAGAAATCCCATAGAAAGATCATAGAAATAACATGGAAATCCCATAGGAATCTCTCATAGAAATAACATGGAAATCCCATAGGAATCTCACAGAAATCCCATAGAAAGATCATAGAAATAACATGGAAATCCCATAAGAATCTCACAGAAATCCCATAGAAAGATCATAGAAATAACATGGAAATCCCATAGGAATCTCACAGAAATCTCATAGAAAGATCATAGAAATAACATGGAAATCCCATAGAATCCATGGAAATCCCATAAGAATCTCACAGAAATCCCATAGAAAGATCATAGAAATAACATGGAAATCCCATAGGAATCTCACAGAAATCCCATAGAAAGATCATAGAAATAACATGGAAATCCCATAGGAATCTCACAGAAATCCCATAGAAAGATCATAGAAATAACATGGAAATCCCATAGGAATCTCACAGAAATCCCATAGAAAGATCATAGAAATAACTGAAATAACATGGAAATCCCATAGGAATCTCACAGAAATCCCATAGAAAGATCATAGAAATAACATGGAAATCCCATAGGAATCTCACAGAAATCCCATAGAAAGATCATAGAAATAACATGGAAATCCCATAGGAATCTCACAGAAATCCCATAGAAAGATCATAGAAACATCATGGAAATACCTTGGAAAACCCACAGGAATCCAATAGAAATTCCATAGGAAAGATCATAGAAATACCATAAAAATCCCATAGGAATCCAATGGAAATCCCATAAGAATACCATAGAACTCCCATAGCACCCCTTCAGAAATCCCATAGAAATCCTCCAGAAATATCATAGAAACATCATGGAGACCTCATAGGAATTCCATAGAAATCCAATAGTAATACCATAGAAATACCATAAAAGAAAAAAACTTTAGCAAAGGAAAAGGAAAAGGAAATGGTTGAAAAAAAACATAACCTCAGGAAGCAGCTGGACACAATAGTGTACCCTCCAAACAAACCACACTATTGTGTATCAGGGTTGCTCATGGACTACCCCCTTGAAAAATTGTTTGAGTGATGTTTTTTTGATTGAGTTTTAATAAGGCATCATATATTTTGGGAAACTGGGCATTTCTGAGAATTTCAAATGAAAGAAACTAAGAAAGTAATTAAGCAATTAAAAGAAAAAAGACTTTAGCAAAGGAAAAGGTAAAGGAAATGATTGAAAAAATCAAAAAATCATGGCCTCAGGAAAGCAGCTGGACACAATAGTGTACCCTCCAAACAAACCACACTATTCTGTATCAGGGTTGCTCATGGACTACCCCCTTGAAAAATTGTTTGAGTGATGTTTTTTAATTGGGTTTTAATAAGGCATCATATATTTTGGGAAACTGGTCATTTCTGAGAATTTCAAATGAAAGAAACTAAGAAAGAAATTAATTGAAAGGAAAACACTTTAGCTAGCAAAGGAAAAGGTAAAGGAAATGATTGAAAAAATCAAAAAAATCATGACCTCAGGAAAGCAGCTGGACACAATAGTGTACCCTCCAAACAAACCACACTATTCTGTATCAGGGCTGCTCATGGACTACCCCCTTGAAAAATTGTTTGAGTGATGTTTTTTAATTGGGTTTTAATAAGGCATCATATATTTTGGGAAACTGGTCATTTCTGAGAATTTCAAATGAAAGAAACTAAGAAAGAAATTAATTGAAAGGAAAACACTTTAGCTAGCAAAGGAAAAGGTAAAGGAAATGATTGAAAAAAAAATCATGACCTCAGGAAGCAGCTGGACACAATAGTGTACCCTCCAAACAAACCACACTATTCTGTATCAGGGTTGCTCATGGACTACCCCCTTGAAAAATTGTTTGAGTGATGTTTTTTAATTGGGTTTTAATAAGGCATCATATATTTTGGGAAACTGGTCATTGCTGAGAATTTCAAATGAAAGAAACTAAGAAAGGAATTAATTAAAAGGAAAACACTTTAGCTAGCAAAGGAAAAGGTAAAGGAAATGATTGAAAAAAACAAAAAAATCATGACCTCAGGAAGCAGCTGGACACAATAGTGTACCCTCCAAACAAACCACACTATTCTGTATCAGGGTTGCTCATGGACTACCCCCTTGAAAAATTGTTTGTGTGATGTTTTTTTATTTGGTTTTAATAAGGCATCATATATTTTGGGAAACTGGTCATTGCTGAGAATTTCAAATGAAAGAAACTAAGAAATAAATTAATTGAAAGGAAAACACTTTAGCTAGCAAAGGAAAAGGTAAAGGAAATGATTGAAAAAAAAAATCATGACCTCAGGAAAGCAGCTGGACACAATAGTGTACCCTCCAAACAAACCACACTATTTTGTACCTGGATGTAATTTTCTGTGGAAGGCATCTGGAAAATTTCAATGCTGGAAAATATAAAGTAAAAGGAAAAAACTTTAAAAAATGAAAAAAATGAAAAATGTTTGAACAACAAAAAAAAGACCAAGACACAATTGTGTATCCTGACACAATGACACAATTGTGTATCCTGACACAATTTTACAAAATAATAAAAAAATATAATTAAACATAAAAATAATTAAATTAAAAATTATTATAATTAAAAATAAAAAAATAATTTAAAATAGAATAAAAAATAATTAAATTATTTTTTTTTAATAATTAATTAATTAAAAATAAAAATAAAAAATAATTTAAAATAAAATTAAAAAATAATTAAATTAAAAATTATTATAATTAAAAATAAAAAATATTTTAATTTTAAAATAAAATAAAAAACAATTAAAAACTAAAAAAATGAAAAAAAATGAAAAAAACTTACACCAAAATCCTGTGGACACAATAGTGTACCCCTCGAACATTTCCAGAGTTACAGAATAATTTTGAGGTCTGTGGACACAATAGTGTATCCCCACACTAATCAGTAACCAACATTAATATTAGTAAAGCAATGTCATAAACTTCCCATATGGATCCATTGGGTTTCTTTTGCGCCCATTTATATTATATCATATTATATATATATATGATTATATGGATATACAATAAGTATATATATATATATGATTATATGGATATATAATAGGTATATATATATATATATATATATATGGTGCTGACTTGGGGATGCTTTCTGATTGCTTTCCCAACATGACAATGACATACTGCAGCGACATGGGATCTTGGGCGTCGCTCAGGGCCTTGGCGGAGATCCCAGGAGCGCAGATGCCCAAAAGGGGCCAGGAGCTGGACGGGCGACACGGAACCAGGGTGACTTCACCGGGAAACATGGTGACATCATGGTGAAACATGGTGAAACATGGTGGCTTAACTTCACCGGCAAAGATTTTGAAGAAAAATGTTGACCATGACAAAAATAATGTTTTGAACATGTTTAAACGATACATCATGGAAATGGATGGAGGCATTTATTTAATTTATTATTGGGATTTAACCATCAGGTTAAGAAGTTCTAGTGGTACCAATGGAAATTCATCATCAACCCAATCACTTGTCTTTTTTATGGGTTGCATACACCCAATTTATAGCATTTTTTTGTTGAGGAAAATCGTGAGAAACCAGTTGGATGGAATGGGGTACCCAATTTTTGATCAAAACCAGGTGGATGGGTTTTGGTGGTTCACCCTAGTGATATGTCCGCAATGGGACATTGCCCCTACTTACCGTATCTTTCCCGCCAGGTTACAACTTTTGTGCAACCCACTTCCAAAGGGGTGAACCATTAAGTATAAAACTGGGGATACTGAAGTACTGTTTATATATGTTTATATATATATACATATGTATACATATATATATATATACATATATATATATACATATATATATATATACATGAGATACAACCAACACTACAGTAATAGGTCTTACCAACAGGTATCCCAACTTGTGATGATGAAATCGCCATTGTTTTAGACATGAACATCACCCAAAGGCACCCCCGCATTGTTTATTGGTTAATTCCACATGTTTGATGTTAAAAACCCATCATCGGGGTGTAGGTCAGACTTGGGCCCCGGATTGTTGATGCTAAACATGAGTAACGTAGCCATGTTTCACCATTTGCACGACGGGTTTTCCATTGTTTCACCTGATTTCCATCGCCATATTTCGACAACTTTTTTAGGGTTAACCTCTGGTAATAGCTGACATAGCTATTGCAAATGGCCATAGAAATAGTGAGTTTTCCCATTAAAAATGGTGATTTTCCATAGTTATGTTAGTTTTCCAACATTTTGTCAATGGGAATTTCAGGATCCTAAAATGGAGGTACCTACCATATATAAGGCCTATTTTTTAGGCCTATGTAAGGGAATATCCCCACAAAATATGGCCAGAAATATGGTACTAACGTACCTCCAATTTAGGATCCTGGAATTCCCATTGATTTTGGATGAACTTCACAGATGAGTTACCTTGATCTGGATGCTGGGAACAGGAAAACCCAGATTGACAGGGGAAAAACCCACGGGTTTCGACCGCTCTTGTTAACAGATGTGGAAACCAGATGTCCAAACTGTTGGATTGTGGAATCATCTGTCAAATTTTGGGTTCGATGATGTTTCCCCCCAGATTTTCCAGATGTCCAACTTTTTAACCACATAAAATGTCGGGTGCTATCACAGAAAATGTCGGTTGTGCTAGCAGTTTTTACAGCGTGTAGCACCCTCTGTGCATCCCAGGGAATCCCAAGTGGCTAATGTTTCCACATGAAATAACCCAGTCAGATGTGGGATATGATATGATTTGATATGATATGATATAAGACCTTGTGGCGGTGAGAAAACAAGTAACAGTTGGTACTAGAAAACATATGCAGCTATAATACTTATGAACCAACATGCTATTATTTGCTTATGATTTTGCTATTGGTAAATGTGAGAAAAAAACCTCAGTGAAAAACCCTCCGGTAATCCAGCATATATCCAGATAGAAACCTCCTAGAAACCTCCATTTCTAGCTGATTTTCCAATATGATCCCATTCTTTAAAGGATATTCCCCAGCCACAGCTGAGGCACGTTCTAAACCCGTGTGATCATGTTGAAGAAGCGGCCCCACTTTTACGGGTTTGGCGTAGGCAAAACTCTTTTATGAGCACAAGCCAGCGTAAGCTCGGCGTAAGACAAGATATGCGTGTAAGCAATGGTGAAGCATCTCCTTCTTTGGTGCCAGGATATATACCCTCTGGAATCCCTCTGGTAATGACTACAGTAACATAGCATTGAAAATGGGCCATTTAGTTCGTTGATTTACCGAACTTCAAGATGGTGGATTTTCCAGTTCGCTAACTGAAAACGTTTACCAGAGGGTAAAATCTATTATCCCATCATTAGACCTATTATCCCATCATTAAATTATCATTAGACCATCATCTACAGTAAAAGTCAACAAACTATGTTGAACATTGTTGAAACTATGTTAAACTGCCTCATTTTTGGGATACTATTACTATTAACTATCCCATCATTATACCATTAGTATGGCTCAACTGGTGACACCGAAGTTGTTGAGTTCTCCACCCATCCCAGGGAAATCCGGGAAACCTCCGTCGAAAACCGCCCGTCTGCACGGCGAGGATTTTCCGCTGCCCCCGGTGCTGCGTGCACCGGATGTGTCGGTCGTGGTGCCTTGGGATTTTCTGAGTTTTTTTCACTGGGATGTGAATGGGACATAGAAAAATGTCTGGTTGGTGGTTTGGACATGTTTGGAACATTTGATTGGGAATTTCATCATCCCAACTGACGTTGATATATATTTTTCAGAGGGGTTGAAACCACCAATCAGAGGGACATATTAAGGTAATTTAAGGTATATACCCTCTGGTAAACTAACATAGCTATTGAAAATGGCCATAGAAATAGTTGATTTTCCAATTGAAAATTGTGATTTTCCATAGTTATGTGACAGTTTACCAGAGGGTATAAAAATATATATATATATATCACAATTTATGGGAGAATTGAATGGGAGATTCGTGGGATATGAATGGTATAATAATGGGATGTTCATGGAGAATCATGGGACAATAATGGATAATCATGGGATAATGGCAAATTGATAATAGGATATGATTATGGGAAAACTAGGATATTATTTTTATTCTGGATATTATATTTTTGGGAATATTGGGAAAACTATTGGATTATGAATGGAAAACTATGGTATATATTTTTTTATTATTGGTTTAATTGATAATAGGCTATCAATGGGTTTACCCTCCGGGTGCATCAAACGTGGCAAGCTGTGAATTCATGTATAAAGCATTGTATATTAATGTATATTATAAATTATAGAGAAATATTGGAACATTCCCTGTAAATACATGTTTCTAGCTGGATCAGAGTGAATTTAGCAGAGGCAATATGGCATCGTTAACATCATTTGTGATCTCTCATGGTATTATTTGTGATGGTAATTAATCAATTATAGATCTGATCATATCTTATCATGAGTGCTTGCACCATCCGGAAAATTAATCTGTTTATGGAACATATTGTCTATTTATAGTGGATTCACCTATTAAAAGATGTGATTTTGCATAACTGTTAAATTACCAGAGGGCACGGCGATACAATGGAACATGAATCATGACAAATGGGGATTCAAATTTAAACAACCAAACTGGCGCATACGCGTACTGGCGCTGGAGATGATTTCGCAAACGAGAAGAAGGGGATCTCTCTTGGGCATGTGATCATGTGGGTGTTTAAGCGAGCATTGGTTGGTTGATTTCATGGAAAATCCCAATCTTTCATACAGTTATGGCCATGGCTACCGGTTATAACTGGTTATTTCTATGGGATTATACATTCTATAAATGGGGTTTTCTTAGTGCTTATAACTAATACATGGCCATAACTGTGGATGATGACTCGGGGTACCATATGGTACCATGACAAAACGGAAACCTCTGTCCGGAGATGGGCAGATTGACGGAATGAGACCATGGGATGGATTGCTGCGGAGTGCTGGGGAATGCTTGGTGCATGGTTAAATGCTTCGTGATTGGATTTCAAAAATCACTTGTGATCACAAGATTTATAGTAATTTATAGTACTATAATTATGTCCTTTCCGGGAAAGGAAATCAGGTCACAAATCCTTTAAATATGTCCTTTCCGTTTTCATCCTCTAAAACAATACAAGATTAGCGACCGCTGCCGTTCACTTCTCCAGAAGCCGTTCAGAAGCTGCTATCCGACAACACAAAGTCCACATCTGGCGCCGCAAAAAAACTGGTTCAGTGGGCAGCTGCCCTGTGCCGGTCCCTGACATGCCTCGAATGGCTGCAGGATTTTGACGAAATCGGAGCCTTGATCGGCTGCAAATCCCAAAGCTGACCGAGCTGTTGACGGCTGACTTGACTGCCCAAGTGAGTGGTGGGTGGGTAGCCCAAACTAAGCGACAATGCTGCTAAAATGTGGGAAGTTTCTTCCATTTTGCATGCGAAATTGCTGGTTGGTGGTTTGGAACCATGGAATTTTATGACTTCCCATTCAGTTGGGAATTTCATCATCCCAACTGACAAACTCCCATGTTTTTCAATATGGTTAAAACCAGCAACCAGATATTATCTTCATTGAAAATGGCCATAGAAATAGTGAGTTTTCCCATTAAAAATGTAGTAATTTTCCAGATGGTGAAATTGCACCACCAACTCCATGGGTTCAATGTTGAGAACTTCTGGTTCATACAGTTGTGGCCATGGCTATTAGTTATAAGTACTAAGAAAACCCCATAGAAATAGAATGTATAATCCCATAGAAATAACCAGTTATAACTGGTACATGGCCATAACTGTAGGTTCATAGGCCCCTAGGGCCTGACATTCCTTCAGTCTCGCCTCAGGGTGTCTGCCTCCGGGGCACTATTTTTTTTCCCTTCGCTCACATGTGGCAATTGAAAATCCCCTAGAAATGGATGTTCTAATGGTAAAGTCATCTATAAATGGAGGTTCTAATGGTAAAGTCACCATGTTTGATTTTTCAGATTCTTTGGGTGGATATGGCTGGATGATGTTTGGTAGGAAACCATCCATTTTTGAACTACCCAGTTATCCCCATGTGTCAGATTTCCAACCGTTACAGGATGGAGTTTTCGGTCAGTTTCGGTGTCATGAACCTCCATTTCAATCATGTTCAATCCACTCTTGATGGTTAACTGGTCGGTGGTTTGGAACATGTTTTATTTTTCCATATATTGGGAATAATCATCCCAACTGACTTTCATATTAGCCGTTCATGCTCAGAGACCTCCCAGTGGTACGGCAGTAATCATCCGACATCTGAGCCCATTGTATTGCCATGTCTTTGCCCACAGACGGTGTTCGCATGAAGATCATTTCTGTTGGTCAGAGTTGTTGCCGAGTTGAAGTTCAGGGGTCACAGGGTATGGCCCAATTCAACGAAGAATGGTGCAAACAGTTCAATGTTGGTATGGACTTGCTCATCACCGGATTTGAACTGTCATGGAGAGACGGGGTCTTTTTCTTTAAGGCCAATAGTGAGTCTACCAAGGTGTTCATTGTTCCTGCGGCATGTAGGGGATGTCTCAACACCTGTGAGTTCTTTGCTGGACTTGGAGGTTGGTCGCATGCAGCCTCCAAGATGGGAATTGAACCGGTTTTGTTGATTGATGCTGAGGAAAACGTTGCCAGAGCTACTGCAAAGAAGCTAGGTATCCCATGCATGAGTGCCCGTGAGTACGTGAGAATGATCCTTGATGGCCACCAGGTCTTCAAATGTATGTTGCATGATGATGTTCTTAATCCTGACACATGGGTTGCTGTAGGTCTTGCCAACATTGCATATCTTCTGGGGTCCCCTCCGTGTCAGCCGTGGAGCTCCGCAGGCTCTGCTCAGGGTCTTAAGTGTCATGATGGTAGGGTGTTCCTCAACACCTTGAAGCAAGCTGCAAAGCTTGACATCCGTGCAGCTGTGATTGAGAATGTGCCTGGGCTCCCTAGGCATCAGGATTACCGTGAACTCATGTCAGGTATTGAAGCTGAAGGTCTCAAACTCCATGTTCATGGGATTTTCACATGTGCCAAAATCCTGCCGGTGCAGCGAGATAGGTGGTTGGGTACGTTCATCCATGTGTCAGTTGAAGTGGATCCTGCCAAAAGGATCATGGCCAATGCGATCTCCTTTGCCGATCGTGCATTCGAATCTGTTGCCAAGTGTCCCACAATCAGAGATGCGGACGTACTCCATGTCAATATGAGTAGTGCCGAATTGAAACAACTGACAATTTGTGAGGAGTTGATCAAAATGTTGTCCATGATTGATTATGCCCCTGCTTGGCTGAAGAATCGATTGAATGGCATTCCTTATCCCTCTGCTGAGAATGTTCTCCAGGCCAGGGTTGTGATCGACTGTCAGCAGTTTATTGGTTTCATGGCTATGTACGGCAAGCAACATACCATCCCCGATGATTTGCTGAAAGCCAAGGGTTTGCAGACCATGGTAGTGAGAGATGCGAATGGGATTAGGTACATTTCTCCATGGGAAATGATTGCCAGCATGGGTTATGCCAGTGACACCATTCTTTCTGCCGACATTGAAGTCTCTTGGCGTATGGCTGGTAATGGACTCTCTGTTGCCCATGCTTGGTTGCAGTTGTATAAGACCCATGTGCTTCTGGGGGATGTGTCTCCTTTTTCGCCAAAGGGAACTCCTGTGCAGCAGGTGGCCGCCTTTCAAAATGATGCCATCAAATTGTCGCAGTGGGAATCCCAAATTGCTGGCCACTTCTGGGTACTCAAGCCTCATGTGGATCAGCCTCCTGAGAAGAAAGTGAGAACACATATCGCCAACACTGCGTATGATGCCGAAAGTGTTCCTCCCACCATTCCTTTCACTGCACTTGACCCCAATGACGGTGCCACCAGTGATTTGATGACGATGCCTGAGTTTACACAAATTCATGATCCCAGAGGAACTGCAGTTGTCGGGAGTGTGTATGGAGGGGGAATGATTGCCTTGCAGCATGCTCAGAAGAACTGGGTGATGTTTGTCAACACAGAACCCTCAGAAGTGGTTTCCAAGATTGTATTGAAGGCGCTTCCTCATGCGAAGATTGACCATTTTAGCGAACTATGGATTGATGGTAGTGTTGTCTCATGGAATCAGACAGTGAAATGCAATCCAAGCCAAAGGTTGGTGTTTTGCCCTGTATTCACCAAGATCTCATGCCGTGAAGAATCCTTGAAAGTTGCACTGAATCTGCAAGTGGATGCCACGTGGACAGCCCGTACTGCTGTGGCTTACTCTGCTGTCAAATTGGGATGCAACCCGGACGCCCTGGTGGTAGCTTCCAACTGCATCCCACTGAAAGATGATGACTTTCTGTTGGAGTACGAAACCACGGAATTCCAGCTCAAGTTCAAAGCTTGTATGCCTGGGTACATCAGTTGGGCACCGAGTGCGCGTGAAACATGTGATGTTGGTATGGCTCCTGTCCCATGCACCATGAAGAGATGGTTTGCCAGACATCCCACCAAAAAGACAGTTCGCAGCACCATTTGTGTCAGCCACAATACCAGTGTCCAACAGCTCGTGCAAGGTGTCTTTCCTGATTTGCATGCCACCACCGCCTGGACTGCATTCCGTGATGATGTTGATATCAGCGGGTCGGACAAGGTGAATGACATTGGGGCCATCCAGGTCCAATGGAATGGATTTCGCCCTTTGAGAGCCACCATGATCAGTACCATGAGACATCATGGAAAGTCTGCAGATGCTGCTGCCATTCAGATTCAGTACGCGTGTGGTGGAGTGAAGAGACATGTAAGATCTCCTTTCAAGGTCCGATGTGATGAATTGACCCTGGCGCATGACATGACGGTTGGTGAAATCGCAGCCAGTTTCATGACTGTTGCACAACTCCAAGTCAGCATGATTTGCACTCAGGGAGCACATGTCCTTGACCCGTCCGTGTATGCCAAAGATACCTCTCCTGATGAAGTCCTTTCATTCCGGATTTGCCCCCTGATTGGAGGAGCCAAAAATGATGCCAGAACCCGCATCGGGGAAATGTTGAAAAGTAAGGGAGTCCCTGAAGACAAGCTTGAGGAACGATTGAAGGGTTTGTTTGAGAAAGTTTCTCCAGACAAATTCAAGCTCAATCTCAATGATGATGCCTTCTGGACGCAAGTCAAGACAGTTGCGAGTGAAAACAAGTATCGCTTGATCACACATGAAGAGCTCAAAGCTTTTCAAGCTGCAGGCAGGAAGGGAAAGGCCAAGGAAGCTAGCAGTGATTCCAAGTCCAAAGTAGAGAAGGAAGCTTTCGTAGTCGATGCCAGCAGAATTGCCATTGACGTTTCTCACTTCTCTGCCAATGATGACTGTGTGAACCTTATCGAGGCAACGAGGTTTGGACCTGATCAGGCTGGACTTTGCGTTGTGAATGCATGCGATGTTGCCAAGTGGAGCACTGCAGGTGTGAAGAGCTGTGATCCCCTTGCGCTGCTGGTGGTTGGTAAGGGGTGTCATGAATATGGAGATGTTTTCAACATTCCTGCACATACTACAGGAGGAACTCCCATCATTGTCCAAGGATGTATCATCCAATACGGTGATGTGCCCATTGAGTTCAACCTCAGAATTCCTTCGGTTGTGGTTGATCAAGTGGCTTCAACAGCAATTGAGTTCACGATATACAGAAGCCATGTCACATGCTGGGATGATGTCACAGTGCCTCTTCACTATATTGGTGTTCACATTCCTGAGCTGAGAGGATCAAACCTGCTGGCTACGTGGTCAATCAAGGCCTGGAACAAGCAGCAGCTGTCACATGTGTCCAAGGCAGACCATTGGCATGGGTTCTTCAGGATTGCTGACAATTTGTTGTGCGCCGTTCTTGGACGTAGCGGAGGAGCGGGTATATTTCTTAACCCCAAAACTCCGGACCGAAAACATGATCCTAGATTTGTTGCAATCTCCCTTCCCAATGGAAAGCTACCAGATGTGCTTGCCAAAGCCGAAGCATGTCCCAAAGCAGTTGGAGTTGTCAAAAAGGGAGAAGCGTATTGCATCAGATGCAAACGTGAGGATGCGGATCAGATGAGAGCGTTCTTGATGCCTGAAACTGCTTATGTTGAAACAGCCAGTTTTTCGGAAGATGAAACGTTGTATGTCCTAACCAATGTTCCACAGATCAATCGCGATGAGTTGACAGTTGCACTTGCGAAGGCCAGTTGGAAGGCGAATGCAATCAGACCTCAAGGAATGAAGCGTTGGTTGGTGGCTGCAAAGCACGAACCTCCCACCAGCCATTTGGGAATCAACGGAATGATTGTGGTTGTAGAAAAGGCCAAGAGGAGTGCTCCTGTGATGCAACCCGTTACCATGTTTGCCAGGGAGTTCAAGGTTGACACCATCCGAGACCCTGCAAACAACGTCGTTCAGGTGTCGACAACGTCCAGAATTGCGGAGTTCAAAGCCCAGATGGATGACCAGATCACTGCTGCTGTCGATCAAAGACTTGCAGAAGCCCATGCCAAGATTGAGGAGCTCCAGACAGCTCTTACGGATGTCAAGGAATCTGCTGCCAAATGCCATGCCAGTATGTCATGCGACATGTCCCAGATGAAACAGGAGCAGTCTTTCACCAGACAGAAATTACAGGAAGTTGAAGCTAGTGTTGCAACGTCTGGCCAGGCCATCATCCAGCAGATGCAAAGCATGTTTGCTACCTTGCAGTCCAGTCTTGAAAAGACCGTTCAGCAAAGCATGAGTGTGGAAGCTGAAAAGAGACCCAGGTTGGATGACAGTTCGCGCAATGACCCATTCTGCACTAAGTCCAATTGACTATCCTGCCGCAGAAAAGGATCTAAGATGTCAAAACCTATTGCTTTCCTCCTTGTTGTGCTGCAAGTTGTTTTTTCGCCTGTCCATGGTTTTCAAAAAAGGGACAAAGCTGAAGATGTTCTGCACCTTGAGGAGAGTGACAATGATGGATATGCGTACAATACAATGCCATGTTCCAAATGGCAATATGATGTTCCAAGTGATGCTCAGTCCATTGCGGACATGCACAAAGTAAATAACCTCTCAAAACCAAATAAAAATGTTTTCGTGTACAGTAATTATTGGTCTTACCACGTGATGGACTATCAAAAACTAAACAAAGTTTTGCACTCCATTCCCATCCGTGACAAGCCGTCAATTGGTGCTCAGAAGCCCGATCAAATACAAAATAAAGAGTTTTTTCAAACGTACAATGCAAGAATGTACAACTTGGGTATCAATCGCTTTCACATTAAAAAGCCTGCCTTTGTATGCACCTTTGATGCCAGTTGCTTTAATTCATCAAATTCAATGCTTATCAATTTGCATGCATGGTGGTTGAACAAGTGGAAGTCCGGCAGTATTTGCAATAACATCCAAAGAGGTCCTGGCTTGTCTAGCCCGTTCACCTCTCGCCAAAACAAAATGCCTGAGACTGGATGTAGGTGGTTACCTGAGATCGTGGTTGAAAGATTTCCAAAATGGAGGCAACTCCAGGTTAATGTAATGCCAACGTGTTTCCTCGAGGCTGTACCTTTTCAGCTTGACAATGGTGGTGATAGAGCTTCCTACGAGTCTAGAAACTCCTATGGTTGTCTTTGCCTATACCTTGGTTCTGCCATGAGGGGTAGGAATGGTAACCATCTTTTGCATGTGGTCAGTTCCAGAGGTGCGAGGGTTCCTTTCATCATGCTGGTCGACCGACCCCCGGAATGGTGGCAACTCCGGGTCATTATAATGCCACCTTGCTATATGGTAAAGCCGGACCTGAATCCATGGAGTGGTGATTTCTTTTGCGGGGGGTGCGAGATTCCAATCCTCCACAACAATTGGCTGTCTGGTCAGGGGGTTACCGCTGTTGGAACGCCTGTTGCCAAAAGCCTGCACCTGAATGAAGATTTCCAGCGGGGTGTTCTCCAACATCTCAATCGGGATGATGCTGAAAATCCTAAAAATGCCGTGCGTGTTTCCTTTTGGTTGATGCGCTATGGGAGATGTGAGCCACACCTGCATGCGCAGTGCCATCAAACAGCCATGCTGGTCGTTAGACCCCCGGAATGGTGGCAACTCCGGGATAAAATAATGCCACTTGCGTTGCAAAGTAATGACCCCAATGTTCCGTGTAGGAGTGTCATTCAAGTTCCTAAATATTGGAAGCTTCTGGTCGATGCCATGCCTTTCAATCATAGTCTTGCATGTAATCTCAAACAGCGAAAAGAAGATCATTTGTGTAAAGAGTGCAAGTTCTCTTCCCAACACAACTTTCAACTTGCGTGTATTGAGGAGTTTCCTGGAGGTTTGCTTGTTGGCGAGAGCCTGTATTTGAAGTTCACTTCCCTGGGTGGTGTTTTTCAACATGTTCGCTGGGGTATATCGGTCAATTGGGAGAAGGTTCCAGCAAACACCCGGTTGTCAAAAAGCGGCTGGTCATGTCACATGACGCATTGCCATTGCAAACTATGGATGGTCATACAACCCCCAGAATGGTGGCAACTCTGGGAAAAAATAATGCCGCCTGTTCCTAGGAAGAGTCATCCCAAAAAGGCTTTCAAGCTGGTCACCCGACCCCCGGAATGGTGGCAACTCCGGGTCATAATAATGCCACTTTCAAAAAAGAGACACCATAAAAATGCTCCGCTGGCCCTCCGTAATTCACAAAGATTTCGGGCCTTTGTTGGGATGCGCAAATTTGGTGTCATGCTAAATTTACCATGCATGTATGCGTGCTGGACTCCACTATGCATGAAACACAATGCTGATGTCAACCATAATTTGATGCAAGTTCAAAAAATTAACCAGTTTTTTTACAATACACCAAAGACTGAAGTGCGTCGTTTTGGTGAGGCCGATCACCCTGGGCCATTTGTAGTTTCCACATTCAACCCGGCGCAATTGTTGGGTAAAGAGGAAGACGTTGCGACATTTCTGGATGGAGTGTGGACCGCCAGTGAAACCTCCCACACTAAAGATGCTATGGATGTCATCCGTAGCAGATTCCAGGCCATGAGTATCAATGCTGTCTTCAGCAAGCCAGCTGAACGACATTCTGAAAACAATGCCATTTTCAGGGGAAAAGCAGTGGGTGCAGCTGTCATGAGTAGATACCCATTGCAACCTTACCCTGAGCCACTTGAACATGAGGCAGATTGCACTTGTAGATTTGCGGATGCAATAGTCCGCGCCACTCCTGCGATGCCTGTGTATGTTTGTTCCATATATGGTCCGCCTGAAAATAATACCACCTTGACTGATGCTGAGAAAGTGTTTGTTGCGGCCTCAAGACCTGGAGTTGAACGTGGTTTGGCGTTCAAGGGTCCTGCCCTTATCACGGGTGACTTCAATAAAGAGATGCATGAAGTGCCCTTCTGGCCATTGCTGAGGCGGAAAGGTTGGATTGACTGTGCCTTGGTTTGTCACCAAAGATTCAACGATGCTCTTGGCCATACATGTAGAGATAAGACACGCAGATCCTTTGTGCTTGCCAACCCCATCATGGCTCAATTCCTGTCCGGATGCAGCATTGTGCATGAGCAAATGTTTGATTCGCACCCTGTCTTGCAAGTCACTTTTGACATCTGTGCTAGTGTTCCCTATCGGTCGGTGTGGTCCTTACCACGCAGTATGGATGACTTGAAGATTGATGAGGATAAAGCAGACGAACAAGCAATTCTTCATTGCGGAAGGAGATGCAACAAGTTCCATGGTGCTCTGTCGGAAAGGAATGCGGAAGAAGCACTTCGGCAGTTTGCCTTGTGTTTTGAAGAAACTTTTGCAGAGGCCTGCATGAATGAGGAACACTCCCATGTCAAGTTGCCTGAAAGTTGTCGCAAAAAGTGTAGAAACAAGCTGAAAAAACTTGTTCCTGTAAGTGCGCCTGTCCTTCGTACGGGGGGAGATAGCGATTTTGGTGTGCCAATTTGCCAGCCTTCCATCAGTGTGAGAAGGCATGTGAAACAAATGCGCAGAATCCAGAGTTTGCTTAGGCAACTTGGTGCCTTCCAGCGTAACGGCAATGAAGATGCACATAGCCAGTGTACCCACTTGTGGGTGAGAATTTGTGAAGCCAACGGGTTTGAGAGGGGATTTCAGTACTGGATCCTTCAACACCTGGGCATGTTTGTTCCAACCAGCCTGCCTGACTGCACGTATCTTGAAGCCTTGTACTTTGACTTTCAAGAGTTTGTTCTTGCGGAAGTTGCACAAGAACGTTCCAAAAGGTGCAGTTACAGGAGGCAACAACTCCTGGAAGATGTGGGTAGGGGAGGTAGACTGATCTACAAGACAGTGCGTGATGCCATGCCACCACCCCTGTCCCATATTGGGTTTGGAATCGAACAGAAGGTATGTGCCCAACGATGGAAGAAAGAGGGACACATCAAACTGCTCTATGTGCCACCGTGTCAACTTGAAGTGGGGTATCCTGTCCATTTCCAGGGTCAAACGGTACTTCTTGAAGATGTTGATGAAAAGTTTTTATACTTTCAAACAAGGGTTTTTTGCAGAGATCCACATAATCTTGTCATTGTCCAAAACCAGAACACTGCTGATCCGAAAGAAATGCAGAAACATGTTGTGGATGCGTGGAGCGAGCTTTGGCAGTGCCCTGATGCCACGGATGACTGCAAAGAACAGGTTTTTGATTTCATTAACTCCATGAGTGATTGTCCCTCCAGCCCCTATAAACCTTTTTGCCCGAGGGAATGGAATGACATGATGAAGGGAGTCAAGAACAGAAGTGCCCGGGGCGCATGTGGTTTCTCCATGCTTGATGTCAAAAGGTTGCCAAGTGCCTTGTTGCTGTGGTTATTTAGCCTCTACGAAGCTGTTGAAAGCGGAATGCAATGGCCTGCGAGGTTAACCATAGCCAGAGTGACCATGCTGTCCAAACCAGGCGAAGAAATCAACAAACCTCTGGGTGTTAGACCCATAACCATCCTCAGCACGCTGTACCGTTTGTGGAGCAGATACAGAAGTTTGCAGGTGTTGAAATTTCTGGGCCAAATTGTTCCCCCTCAGATAGGCGGAATCGCCTCCAAATTAAGTGCCGATGTTCTCACTGCAATGGTTGGAGACACAGTTGATGACGCCCACAGTAACAACAACCACTGCTGTGGTCTTGTCATTGACCTCCAGAAGTGTTTCAATCTTGTACCAAGATGGCCGATTGGAAAATTAATGAAAAAACTGGGCATTCCGCCGTGTTACACAGATGCGCACATGGCCATGTTGAATAATCTCTGCAGGCACATTGAAATCTCAGGACAGATTGGTGACATCACTCCCAGTACGTGTGGTGTTCCTGAAGGTTGTGCCGCCAGTGTTGTTTGTATGTGCGCCCTCACCATTCTTGCCGCTCATGTCATGCAATCTGTTTCTCCAACGGTCAGTGTTTCCATGTTTGCTGACAACTGGGCGGTGATCACCAGAACTGTCCATGTCCTTGTTGCTGTGATCGGAATACTTGAGGAATTTGTCAGATGCCTTGGAATGAAGCTATCCCCTGGTAAGAGTTGGACTTGGGGTACGTCTCCGGAGTTACGAAAAGGGCTCAGAGTGGTTAGAATGTGTGGCACAGCCGTGCCAGTCCAAAACTCAGCCAAAGATCTTGGGTGTGACATGGCCTACACCGAGAAATTGAGGAAGAAGACATCCGTCACTAGGCTTGCCAAGTCTATCAGAGTTTTGCAAAGGGTCAAAAGAACCAAGGTCCCCAAACATTTCCTTGGGCGCATGTGCACTGCTTTAGGGGTTGGTATTGTTAGCTATGGCTCTGAAATTGTGAGGTTCACCAATAAGCAGTTTCATAGTCTCCGATGTGCAATTGCTTCAACGCTTGGGTTGTATAAATCGGGTGCCAATGCCCTATTGGCTACAAGTGCAACTGGGTTAACCATTGACCCTCAGGTGCGTCTTTTGAGAAGAAGAATCAAGTTTTTCAGAAAGTTCTTCAAAACCTTCCCTGATAGAAAAGAAGGGTTTCTTCGTAGAATCACTCGTAATGTTGGGAAAAAATCTGCAGGCCTTGCTGCCCAGTTCCATTGCGCCTTCCTTGACATGGGCTGGAAATGCGAGAGTGGTGGTTGGATTTCCCATAATTCTGGCTTGAAATGCAACTGGGTTGTTGATTCCACCACGTTTGTTTTCAACTGCATTGACAAGGCATGGTGTGCACACGTTGCCATGCAGATGCAAAGAAAGGGTTTTGATGTCAAACAGTTTTCAGTCAAAGACTTTGTTGCTAGCCAGAGAGGTCGAGGACCTCAGCAACAAGGTCTTCTCACGGCTTATGTCAGCGGAAAAAATGTCACAAATGATGCTTTGTCGCATTATGCAAGAGATGATGCTTTGTGTCCCTTTTGCTCCTGCGTTGATGGCAAAGACCATAGGGTGTTTCATTGTCAAGGCTTGGTGGACTTGAGAAGAAAACACCATGAAGTTGTAAAGTGGCTCAAAAAACAGCCTAAAGCCATTTTGCACTTTGGTCTTTTCCCTGATGATAACGAAGCTATTTGCTTGCGACTGCAAACCTTCAACGGAAGTTTTGGTAAGGTGTTGCCTCTTTTTGACAGCTATGCCAGAGTTTATACAGATGGTTCATGTTTTTGCAGTACCTCGTGGGAACATGCAGTTGCTGGAGCTGCAGTGATTAAAGTGGTCGGGAACTATGCTTGGGAGCTTGTTGACCGGCAAGTTCTTCCTACCCCTGATCACAGCCCTTTTCGTGCTGAAAGTTATGCAGTGTTGCTGGCACTGCAGCATTTCTGGAACGTTCACATCTGTTCGGACTGCTCGGCAGTTGTTGATGAGATTGTTTGCATCCTTGAAGCCTGTCAGCGTGGGGACTCCATTGTTGTTAGGGCGCACTCCGACATTTGGGAGCCTATTGCCTGGCACCTTAGTCAGAGAGATATAGGATGTGTCTCAGTCACAAAGGTCAAAGCACATGTCAGTTGGCAGCAGATGAAGGAAGGTGATGAGAGGGTTCATGCCTTTTTTAATGATGCAGCTGACAAGGAGGCGAAGAAATCTGTAGCAGCCGATAACTTCGATGTTTGGCAAAAGTTTGAAAACATGTTGCTGGGAAGGAAAAAGCAGTATGAGATGGTTCGAAAATTTCATAATTTGGTTTGTGACATTCATGAAAGGTCTTTTCAGCTCAAGCCTCGCATTCGACCCGAAGATGTTACTCCAAATTTTGCTGACCTGTGGAACCTCCAAGGTTCTGGTAAGGTTTTTGCATGTCCGGAAGCTTGTGAACTAGAGCAATGTCCATATGGCAGTACCTTCGCAAAGAGGGTGAAAGGATGGTGGTCCCAACTGCAATGGTTTGAGGGGCCGCCTACAAGTGCCCTAGAAATGTATATGGATTTCTGCTTCGAAACCATGACTCAAGTCCCGGTGCGCATCAACAAGGTGGGCTGGGTCTTGCGGGAACACAGTGTTGAAGCCGATGTAACTTCTCACCGGCTGGGGTTACAGAATCATGCGTGGATACAGATGTTGAAATGGTGGGTCCAGCGTGCGCAAGCTCCAGGACTTCAGATATGTCGTTGCAATTCCCTTTTCCAGTATGGTCCTACTATCACTGCATGGGGAGTAAATATGAGACCAAAGCTTCTTCATGGACCTAGAGTCTCCGAAAGTTTGTGGAACTACATTCACCATGGTGGACGTTCTAACCGGAACTTCAAACGCCCTTGGAGCCCTAAAACGGGGTAAGTCTTTGCCTCAAAACGAGGCCAGTGTATAAAGGTGTGGGAGGCGCAAGGAACTCGGGCCCTCACCACGGCAGATTGGCTGCGCTCATCCATAAAGTGATAAAACTGACTTTCATATTTTTCAGAGGGGTTGAAACCACCAATCAGATTTTCAATCCACTTTTGATGGTTAAAGTCCTACTAAAATCCTTGTGTTTGATTATCTCCATGTTTGATGTCCAGAATTCTGTTTTTGATGATGTTTGCGTTCATTTCAAAACCTCTATTGTTGATGTCTAAATCCCGAGTTTATGAGGATGAATGATTTAACTTGCCATGGTTAATCCTTTCATTTGAAGGCCAACCCAGCGTTTAGTTTATCCAGATTGATTATCCCCATTAAATGATATATATATATATAAACATACATGCCATGAAATATCACCATCAAACATCATTAAACTATACCCGTTCAATGTTTTTTAAATATTTCAACCACCATGTTTGAACATCTTTTTAGGATCACATCCTCATTTCTCATGGCCCAGGGTCCTCCCTGTCGATGATGTCTAGGTGGGTCACACAGGTGACAGCTGTGATAGAACCTGTTCGAGCACATCTGCCAGGCGCTTCTGAGATGAACTCGTGGTTCAGCGGGTGGTTTCAGCTACAAAACTGGATCTACATTCAAAAAATAATCACCGCCCCCTTCAACATGAAATTCCTGGGGGTGACCTAATGGAATTCCATTTGTTTCATTTTTTCAGTCCCCCATCGCCGCTCCCCTCCAGTTTCAGTGAGGATATAACGGGATGAAAGGCACGGCAAGACCCTGAGGTTTGCCCGGGCTCGCAACGAGCGTCCAAGCCAAGATGACGATGACGATGATGATGACGGTGACGGTGACGATGACATACAAGTTGATGGTATTACCCCGTTCCACATGAGTTGACACTGGTGATGATGATGATGATGATGATGATGATTTTGAATTTTTCTTGAAACCCTATAAGAAACCCCAAATGACTGATATGTAGAAGCAACATGTTCTGGTTAACACCTTTGCAACATAATTGAACATAAAATCCTTCTCGCTGTTTGATGTCGTACAGAATTCCCTGGTATTTACGCTATTCTGGGCTAGGGCAAACCTCGGGGTCTGTGTGTATTTCTTTATACTGTGATAATAATGGGATAAAACTGGATCATTTAACAGGATATGCTGCCTATATATGGAATCCGTGGTTTAATCAATTGCCATTTATATTGGGGGTGTATATATATTTATGTATATAACTATAACTTGTATATATATATATAGGTATACATTTATAGGTGTATATATATATGGATACATAGAATAGAACATCCACAATTTAGTTCGATGATCTTCCCATAGAAGCCTCCACTTAGGGCATTTCGGCGTGCCAGCCATATTTCATTACCAGATTGGGATGATCCATTTTGTAATGGAATGCGCGGTCTGTGGGCCCACCGTTTATGAAATCGCTAAGTTGGCCTCCAATTTCACTATGGTTTATGATGCACAAAAAACTGCAATCTTTATGGGATTTATAAACTAACTTATAACTGGCATCCTGTGGGTATGTTTTAGAATTAGGTATGACTCACTCATTTTATGCTTTTGGATAAAAGGATTATTGATCATGAAATTTTGGGGTTCCCTATGTTCAGTCAAACACATATATCAATGCATTGGTTTATATAAGGGGAAACAATACAGGAAACCCTCAAATTTCATGGGAAAATCCATAGTTTCCGGTTAAAAAAATCCCTTATGCCATTCCATTGAATTTAATATTGATATCATGTATTGATCATATATATATATAATTTATATATTAATATATATATTATTGATTTAATATATTATAAATATTTTATATTATATTGATATTATGTATTGATCATTAAAATCTATTGAATTCCATTGAATCAATTTCCCTTATATCATATATTGATTTATCGATATCTCCAGTATGCTTAGGGTGAATATGTTGGGGAGATCAACGGCTTGGTTTGAGAGCACGGGCTGCTGATTTCAATCATGTGTTGTTGCCTTACCCTTTGGTAACAAAAAACATGCTGGACAATATACCATCTGGTTATTTAACATAGCCATGGAAAATCACCATTTTTAATAGGTAAACCATGTATAAATGGGCCATCTATACCATGGCTATGTAACAAATAACCAGAGGGTAGTCCGTTGATTTTTCCAGCTAGAAATTCCATTATGTTGATTTCATAGATTCCCATGATGTTCCCATGTTTTTTCCCATTCGTGCGGGGATTGTTGCCATGTTTGACCGGGGGTAACCGGGTAACCGTCTCTGAGATGATCGAGTGGTTGTAACTATACACTGATTGGTGCAAGCTGGGGCCCCCAGTTATCCAGCAAAAATAACTGGTGATTTTATGGCACTTAAATGGTGAATGAAATTTTGCTAGTTGATGTGTTTTGGATTGTATTGGTTTATGTTCTCCCCCATGAAGACTAGTTCGATATATCTACCATACACCCAACACTTATTGGAGTTATATATATATACATATGGGTAAATTATGGCGACCTCACTGTTCTCCCTCACTATAATCATAGTTAGTAAGGGGAATCATCCCAAAATGGCCCAAGCATTATGGTTAGTGAAATATCATAATTTACCCATATATATTATATATAATATGCATACATATATCCATTTATATATGTATAAACGTATATAAACCGATATAGTTCCAGATGGTGCACTAGCATTTCTTGGCTCCCAAGAAATGACAAAAATGTTCGATTCAGCAAATGAAAAACTTCCTGGATGATTCGACAATTACTTACCATACTTGGGCTTCTAATTCTATAACAATATAACATTATATAACTGTATATGTAAACAATTTTGCATTGTAATTTTAAGTCTATATATATATATTGCAGGTCTAATCCATATATATATATATATACTATATTTACATATCCATTGCAGTTCCAGTTATAAATGGATATACAACCCCAGTTTCGAAGGTAGGGATTGTAGGAGTTATATGATGTTATATCCTGAATTATGGGGTGTTACTACCACCACGTTTATACACATTAGCTCCATGTATGGTGCATGTAGAATTATTTAGATTCAGGCCATGTGTTTCGGGGTAAAAGTTGTAAGTATTCCACCCGTGGAACATGTGCAAATGATCAACTTTGCTATCTAGTAGGGGGCCCCACTTTGTAGGAAGTGATGTGGATTTGTCTACCCCAAGATGACAATTCATGGCAAATCTTTCGGGTTTTTTGCAATGTTTCCCAGAAAATACGACTCAAGGGTGATTGACCCACCTGATCTCTACATCTTGCAATGATCAGGTGTCACGATGAGGATTTGCTGTTTTTGAACGCCAGCACCTGAGAAAGTTTTTCGCAAATTTCTCAGAGATATCTGGAGATGTTTCATGTCGTCTCATATTTGTTCATGATGTTTTAGGGTCAAAAATGCAGATTTTCAAGGTGATTTAATGGAATATACTTAACATATCATGGACATTTAATGGGAATTTGGAATGGTGAATTTCATATAGTAAGTACTTCCAGGATGCTACGGTGGATGGTTGCGAAATCCTGCACCAGTTGATAGGTGGTTTATCCCATTATTTTGTTAGGGTTTCAACCATCCTTTTGGTGGTGGAGGATTTCTTCCATCCACAGTAGTTCAATGATGTTTCCCCATGATCTCCAGATGTTCCAACTCTTTGATTCTGGAGTGTTTTTTCTGCTCTGTTGACCTTCAAATTGCCGGGGGCAGAATCATGATGCATGCCTTAACAAATTCTGGATGGTGCCATTCCGGGCCTTCATGACCAGTTTTGAAGGGGGGAAATAGTGCAAAGATATACAAATAAATATCAGGAAAACCTTACAATGTGGGGCCCCCAAATGTTATGATTTGGTTTATGAACCCCATGAAGACTATAGTTATTTGCGTATCATAAACCATAGTGAAATTGGAGGTATGTTCACCAACTTAGCGATTTCGTTTACGGGGGTCCCACATTTCAGGAAATCCTTCCCAATGGAATTGTGGCACTGCAATAGGCTTGATGACCCCCCCATAAGGTGGTGGTCACATACCTGAAACCGGCCGACATCCTGGATGCTTAACCCATAATAAAGGTCCAAGCCATTGATATATTATTCGGAAGATTTTGGAAGTGTATATTTATACAATTTGGGCCCCCCCAGTTATAAGTTGGTTTATAAACCCCAGTAACTATAGTTATAAATACCATACACCATAGTTATTGGACATATATAAACCAACTTGGCTATCTTGGGGGCCTCACATTATAGTTATCCAGAAAACACTCAGTTGACTACTATGGTCGCCAAAGTGTAGAAGTGGAAATAGCATGACATAGCATGACATAGGCTTGGAGCGTTTTTTTTTCAATCTGGATTCTGGATGGTGCGATTTCGGGCCTTCATCATCAGTTGTGAAGGAGGAAATAGTACAAATATCAGGAAACTAATTCAATTGTTGGAAACCGTGCTTTCTGGATGACGCGCACACAAGATACACAAGATACACAAGCTATTCCGCGCATTTTTGTGGTAGTAATGGAATGCATAATGTGAATGGCGTTCTTCGAACAAGTAATGGAACCCTGTTCTGAATATACCTGGAACCCCATTTGGGCCAACATCGTGGATGCTTAACCCGTAATTGTGTGAGAAAATGAAGCCATCAAACCATCCACATGTTCGGAATGTTATAGTTATCCGGGAAAACAGCAGTTAACTAGCTGATTGGGGTGACTGGAACATGTTTTCCATATATTGGGAATGTCATCATCCCAACTGACAAATATTTTTCAGAGGCGTTGAAACCACCAACCAGCTAGAATTTGTATCTGGAAATAGACATAGCATGCTTTCTAGCACCAATCTCCATATCCACAAAACCGCTCTTGACAATTTTCCTCACCTTGTGAGGGCAGTTAGAAGTTGATTTACAGCGAAACTTGGGGGTTTATGGTAGTTATAACTATGACGGGTTTGTACATCTCCTGGATTTATAAACCCAATTATAGTTACATCCCCCATGAACCATGGAATTCACCAAGTTGTTTGCACCAACTTAGCGATTTCACAAACAATAAGTTCTAAATCCCATCAGAAATCACCATATGTTGCTTGGTTGAATCATCATTAACAATGTGGGACCCCCAAACGATAGCTAACTTGGTGAACATACCTTCAATAACTATGGTTTATGATATTCCTAACTATAGTCTTCATCGGAAGGTTTTCTCGCCCGTCATCGGTTACAGCGCGGACTACGAACTGCTCCACTTTGTTTTCGACCTGTCAATGTGGACAACCATCGGCACCAAGAAGAACCTTGCAGCTCGCACCGGTGTGGCCCTGCGCCACCTCCTTAAGGGCTCCCCATGGACACCGCAGTACTGGAGAGTCAGACACCACGCCGTGCTTGACATGCAGCGGCAATGCGGCAATGCCACTTTGTTTCGCACTCGAGCTCCCTACGAGAGGTCTTTCCCGTACCATGAATGGGTCATGCATGAGCAGCGTGTTCTTGGCAGAGAGCGTCAGCATCTAGCTGGGCCAGAGATTTTGCACATGGCTTGGGTGCTCTTGCAACTAGACAAGGGCTACATCTGCGGAGACAAGTACAACTCATAGACCAAATCATAACATTTGGGGGCCCCACATTGTAAGGTTTTCCTGATATTTATTTGTATATCTTTGCACTATTTCCCCCCTTCAAAACTGGTCATGAAGGCCCCACACTGTAAGGTGTTCCTGATATTTCTACTATTTCTACACTTCAAAACAGTTATAAATGGACATATAACTCCCATAACTCAGGTTATATATCATTATAAACCCATTTACTATCTGGTTATGACTAACATAGCCATGGAAAATCACAATGCTATTAATAGGTAAACCATCTATTTCTATGGACTATCTATACCATGGCTATGTTAAACAACCAGAGGGTAAAACCATATTCAGCTATATAAACCTCCATTGTTATTCCATATAAAACCGTATTACAGTATTCCCGTATAAAAGCCATATCCCTAAAGATTATCTCCAGGTTATATATCATTATAAACCCATTTACTATCATTATAGACCCTGAAAATCACCAATTTTTAGTGGTTTCACTAATCTTCCAACCCCTATTTGGCAGGGTCTATGTTAATTTACTGGAGGGTAATATATCATTACAAACCCATTTATATCCATTATTATTCCATATAAAACCGTATTATTCCCATATAAAAGCCATATTCCTAAAGATTATCTCCAGGTTATATATTATTATAAACCCATTTACTATCATGATATACACTGAAAATCACCAATTTTTAGTTGTTTCACTAATCTTCCAACCCCTATTTGGCAGGGTCTATGTTAATTTACTGGAGGGTATATATCATTATAAACCCATTTATATCCATTATTATTCCATATAAAACTGTATTATTCCCATATAAAAACCATATTCCTAAAGATTATCTCCAGGTTATATATCATTATAAATCCATTTACTATCATGATATACCCTGAAAATCACCAATTTTTAGTGGTTTCACTAATCTTCCAACCCCTATTTGGCAGGGTCTATGTTAATACTGGAGGGTAATATATCATTACAAACCCATTTATACCCATTATTATTCCATATAAAACCGTATTATTCCCATATAAAAGCCATATTCCTAAAGATTATCTCCAGGTTTTATATCATTATAAGCCCATTAATTATCATTATAGACCCTAAAAATCACCAATTTTTTGCGGTTTCACTAATCTTCCAACCCCTATTTGGCAGGGTCTATGTTAATTTACTGGAGGGTATATATCATTATAAACCCATTTATATCCATGATTATTCCATACCAGTAGTACCGCACAAGGCGGTGGCGGAAGTTTCAAAAATAGGAAACCTATAGGAGAGGTTGGTTGTTGTGAATCAGGGATGGCAAAGCGAATCCACTGATGGACCGAAAGGTGCTTGAGGTCTCCTCTTTGTCTCTCTCTTTCTCTGACTATCTGCCTACCTATCTATCTTCTATGTATCTATCTATCTATCTAGCTATCTATCTCTCTCTTTCTCTCTTTCATCTAATTACCTATCTACCTATCTACCTAGCTACCTATCTACCTATCTACCTATCTACCTACCTATCTACCTATCTACCTATCTACCTATCTACCTATCTACCTATCTACCTATCTATCTATCTATCTCTCTCTCTCTCTCTTTCATCTGTCTATCTGTCTAGCTGTCTACCTGTCTATCTATCTATCTATCTATCTATCTGTCTACCTGTCTATCTGTGGTGCAGTGTCATTCAGTGTATTGTAGTGTAGTGGAGTGTAGTGTAATGTAGTGGAGTGTAGTGTAATTTAATGAAGTGAAGTGTAGTGGAGCGTAGTGTAGTGTAATGTAGCGTAGTGAAATTGAATGTAGTGGAGTGTAGTGGAGTGTAGTGTAGTGTAATGTAGTGTAGTGTAATTTAGTGTAGTGGAGTGTAGTTGTGTAGTTGTAGTTGTAGTGTTGTGGAGCGTCGTGTAGTGTAATGTAGTGTAGTGGAGTGTAGTGTAATTTAATGTAGTGTAGTGTAGGGGAACGTAGTGTAGTGCAATGTAGTGTAGTGAAATTTAATGTAGTGGAGTGTAGTCTAGTTGTGTAGTTGTAGTTGTAGTGTTGTGGAGTGTAGTGTAGTGTAATGTATTGTAGTGTAGTGGAGTGTGGTGTAATGTAACGTAGTGTAGTGTAGTGAAGCGAAGCGGCGAAGCGACATCTGAACCTCCAAAAGTGGTCCTAACCCCTAGTGCTTTGTACATTTTCACTTCGAAATGTGCTTCGCGCCACAACGGCGTGCACTTTTTCAACATCCGAACCTCCAAAAGTGGCGCGAACATGTGGTGTTTGGTACATTTTGACTTGGAAATGTGCTTCGCGCTACAACGGCGGGCACTTTTTCGACATCTCAACTTCCAAAAGTGGTCCGATAATGGTGTGTTTTGTACATTTTTTCATTTGGAAATATGCTTCGCGCCACAACGGCGTGCACTTTTTCGACATCGCAACTTCCAAAAGTGGTCCGAGAATGGTGTGTTTTGTACATTTTGACTTGGAAATGTGCTTCGCGCCACAACGGCATGCAATTTTTCATCTCTCATCTGGCCAGCTAGCTCCCCGCAATTCTGCTGGCACCCGCCGGGTGGTGCCAGCAGAGAAGCGTTCAGGCGCCAGCGGAGAAACCAACCCTGCTGGCACCCGATTTGGGTGCCAGCGGGGTTGCGGTGACACGCCCGGATTCGGAAGCAAGGGCCTGGAATTTTCGAGGTTTGCGCCGGTTTGGTTTTGATGGCACCGCGCTTGTCTTTTGTTGCCCGGCCGTTTTGCCCCAGTTCGCTGCCGGCAGCTGTTCGGCAAAAACGCCGGGATCTCGAGGCAGCAGCCTTGGATTTGCCGACTTCGCGCCGGATTGGTTTTGATGGCGCCGCGCTTGTGTTTTGTTAACCGGCCGATTTTCCGACAGACCGCCCGGGCACCGTTTTTGAAGCAAAAACCGTCGAAAAACGGAAAATTCACTAAGTACATTTTCGCTTTGTCCCGGTTTCCGGGGGTATAGTAGAGGAACGTTTTCAGAAAGTATGAACATAATATTGTTTCAGAATCTTCCTTTGCGCTTTTGGCGTTTTCGGGGTTTGTGGCCGTAACCTGGTGCAACAAAATTTTGGCACATTGTGTTTGGCAATTGTTCGTTTGTTACCCCCTGTTAAGGAAGCAACCGTGTTTGGAATGCCCCGGCCACAACCGAAAACGGCAAGCCAAGGTAGATTCTGAAAAGATAGGACTTGATGACATGAGGACAGATGCGACAAACGGGACTAAGACCTGCACCACTGGATCGCTAAGACAACGCAAGCTGCTCTAAGGTATGCAACATCAACTTCCTCATCGAGCTGATTGATGCTCTGCCAGAGAAGATCGAGATGCCTGTCTGCACACATTCGTACGGGACGGGCACATACACAAACAACACATACTCATCAATAAAGTAAACCACATGCATACGCACCCACATATACGATTTATAAATATATAAGTAAATATATATATATATTGATGCGTTGTGTTTACATATATACTAAGGCTAATACATACATACACTCATGAAGACACATACATGCATACATACATTCATTCCTTCTTCCGTTCATTCGTTTATTCACCCATTCACCCATTTATTCATTCATTCATTCATTCATTCATTCATTCATTCATACATACATACATGCATACATACATTCATACATACATACATACATACAGATACATACATACATACATACGTACATGCATACATACATTCATACATACATACATACATACATACAGATACATACATACATACATACATACATACATACATACATACCTACATGCATACATCTCTACATACCTACCTACATACATACATACATAAACACATTGAACCATAGATAAACACGTACATACGTACATACATACATACAAACATGCACACATACACACATGCACACATATTTACATACATGCATATTTACATACATGCATACATACATACATACATACATACATACAAACTAACATACAAACATACATACATACAGACAGACAGGCATACATACATACATACACAAACGCAGGTACATGTAGCATCGAAAGCATGTCTACCGCATACGCGACCTAGGCACGGCAATCACTGATGGCGTTGACCGCCTTCGAGACGGCAATCAGTGCTAGACGACAAACTCTACGGCATGAGCGCAGCAGATATAGCGCGGCTGGGGCATCCCGTAAGAAAGCCATTGTATGTAATCACAAGACACATATGGAATTGCAGTCTCATGCCGTTGTCGCTTTCGTAGCAAACAGTCTGCATCTGATGCAACCAGCTCAGCCACGAATCCCATAGATTTGGTTGGAACAAGCATAGGTTATCGGGTGAATTCGTGTCGGAATGAATCGCATTCAGATTGACGTCACATGCATGCAGGCAGCATCATGAGTGTGCATCCTCGTAGAGCAAAGCACTGCAGGTGTGTCACCATGTCTTCCGGCAATGAACTTGGCTCAAGCAGCGCGAGAACCGCTCACCGCAATTCGAACCATCCCGGTGCTTCCCCGAACCCGCAGCCATGGGCAAGGACTACAAGAAGAAGACCGACAAAGGGCCCGAGGCGAGCAAGGGTGCAGGGGCAAGGAAACCCTTCGGCATCCCGAAATACCAGCACTTCCCCAAGGCGTCACTTGCGCCGTACCCCGACGAAGAAGGCAACGCCCTCTGGCTCGGCGACAACGAAAGCCTGCAGGAGCTCCTGTCGCCCAGCAACATCCTGGCGAGCCGCAGCCCCAAGAACAGCGAGATGCTGGCGCGTCCTGGCATGGCGATCTCGCTGTCGGCCGCCGCCATTCACGTCGGTGCAAAAGAACTCCTGGAAGGCAAAGGCGCCAAAGCCCTGGAGAAGATGCCCCGTTTCTTCGAGACCAGCTCGGGCAAGGAACTGCTTAGCGCGGTCAAGACCCTCAACCTTGGCAAGTCAGGCTCGGCCTCCAGAAGCACCCTCAAAAAGGCCGTCAAGAAGTACATCGACTTCATGCAAGCAGACAACGCGGACCTACAGAAGGCACTGGTCAGAGTCGTCAACACAGCTTCCCGCACGTACTTGCTGGCAATGCACCTCTTGGAGCAGAGGGCCTTCTTCCTCAAGACCGGCGGCTGGGCGAAGAAGTGGAAGCGAAGCGGCAAGGAGCCGTCGGAAATCAAGGCTTGGCTCAAAGACCCGTCTAGAACCGACAAGCTCACGACGGCTCTGGTCGACATGGTGCTCCAGAAGATCAACACAAGCCGCAAAAAGGCCAAGGACACCGACACCGATGACTTCGACAGTCCGGGCAGCAACCTAGACCATGGTTCGTACCACTAAGGGTGGTACATGACCCTATTCGATCATCTAAGGATCCTTAGTGGTACAAATGGTTGGTTTATCTAATTTTCACGATTTTTCACGCTCATGGCCCTGGATGGACCAGAGGCAGGCTGTCTAGAATGGCCAAAATTTACAGTGCCAGTGCATGCAGCAGCAGTTCACCACAGCATGTTTGTTCTGTGAGCCATGCATGTCAAGTATGCATCTGCACACAGTGGATGAATGGCACAGCATTCTTGAGCCGATATAAAAATACATATCTATATAAGTATATATATATATTTAAATTAATTAATTAATTAATCTTTAACCGCATTATACATCCTAATTCCCATGGGGGGGGCAGGAAACTACATACCTACTAGTTATGCATGTAAAAACCATGGAACCAAGCACCACATAGATTTTACATCATCAGGGTTCCCACATGTATGTTTTCATTTTATATAAACCATTTGGGATTTTGCTGATGCCATGCCTTCTCTGACATATTCCCATATTATCCCCAAAAGATATACCCAAAGAAATATTGGTGGCAACCTTCACATCCAGTACCATATCTAATAAAAGGTGGGTTCCCAAACCCCCAAAAGTTTTACGGTTAAGTTAAAGGGTCTTCCGCATCCCACCCAACCCTTGCATTTTTTCCATCACGTTCTCCATCTTCGATCGGAGACTGAGCAGCCACCTGCGAATGACCCTGTCAGCAGCTTGAAGTTTATGCACCTTCGACTTTATTTTCATAAATCTTTTCATAGCATCTTCATCCATCCATGTACTGCCGTACGTGGGGTTGTATCTGGATGCTCTCAGCTCAGACTGGAGGTGCACCAATAAGTGGAATTTAGGCCTCAAGCGCCATAACCGCACCCTGTTGTTCACTGCTTCTCCTGCAAGCTCTAGGTAGGTGAGCATGTTGCACTTCATCAGGCGTTAGAAAAATATCACCGTGGTGCCAGACACCCATCAACGAATTTGCAGCCCACACCAAAGTTCTCACTCGTGGGTCTACATCAGTTGCATCACTGAGTAGCCAGTCCAGCCAGGCAACCATGACGTAGGAGTCAAATCCTTTGCAGTGGGTCTCTGGGTACCCATTTGATCTCCAGCCCAAATTTGCCGGTGATAGTCGCTTAAGATGTAAGGATAGACCTTCAGTTTTCGCATAGTTTCTCAGCGAGCTTGATGCTGCAGACAATTGGTCCTGGATGGTGCCACCTGGACGAAAGTATTTGGATTTCGCTAGGACTCTCAAGACTGACGCCGTCATGTCTCGTGCCACACCTAAGTGCCACACATGCAACACATCAACGTTCAACATCTTCAAGCTGAAGCCAGGCAGCATGGAATATGCAGGTGGCTCGATCCAGGGATCTGATGTCCATTCCGTAGACCGCCAGCTCGCATCATCAGATACATTCGTATAGCAGTAGGCCAAGTCATTAGTGCCCTTGGTAGCCAAGCACCTCCAGCACACCTGCAGGGTTCGAATCAGAAACAACATAGATTCAATTTGCAGATCCAAAAAATTATTTCATACAATTCCCATCTTGACCAATTGACGAATATGTTCAGAAGTCAAAATCAAGATCTTTTGACCGTTAATATGTATTTTTTACATGTATAATTAATACCGATGAATATCCACCAATTTATTTATATATATATATTATCTATAGTGTTTTTTAGTGTTTAGATCACCGGGCCTTTTCCGAACTCGGAGTGCGAACCAAGTTGAACAACTGGCACAGGTACTTCCAGTCACCCTTGAACCCCATGACGAACACAGCCATAGATACATCCTTGCAAGCAGTGGACGCCATAGCGCCATGGGGAGCATGCAATCTTTGGATTAGAGGCTGGTTTCGGGCAAAGCAGGGGTGGGCGACATTTGAAAAAAATAACATGCCAAGGATCAGAATCAGTGCCAATCATAGGAATGGAAATCCGTAAGTCGGCCAGAGATCTGCAAATATGCTGCGCCACAGATTGTAAGGTGATGTTGACATCATGATCGTACACATACGCTGTAGATGGAACCGTAGTGATTAGATATCTGCTGGATCCACTGTCTGAAAGGAAAGGTGCCAGGTCACATTGCCAGTGGAACACCATGTAGCTCCCACCCAAAGCATTTCCTTCATCACCTGAACCCCAAAATGACCCGAATTCTATTTCTGGAAACTTTAATGTAAATATTTGCTTTAGGGTAAGTTTGAACCGTCCATCGAAATTGTATCTATGCCTTTTCAACAAGATGTCAATCTATAGATATAATGAACTGCAAAAGGCACTGATGCATTTTTCTCGGAAGAATTCAGCTAAGACGCCATACAGAGTGATTGGCAATGAACGCTCAGGATCATCAGATGCAGGATGCGCAGGGTAGTCAAGCAACATGTTTCGCCAGTACCACCCAAGCTTCTCCAGGTCTACGAGGGCTTCCATGTACCCTTCATCCACCAGTGCTTGGGCCTCAGACACAGGTCGTGGCTGCCAATAAGCAAGAAGGGGGATTCCGCGGTTTCAAATATATACATTTGTTTGAAACCCTAAGTGAAGGAATTCATTACAAGACAAAGTCGGAAACAAAAAATTGGGTGAATATGTCCAAGGTTCCATGTCACTTGGCAATAGAAAAGGCCATCCTTTCAGTTCCACAATAGGTGAACCATCATCATCATAGCCAGTACAGACTGGGATTTCCAAGTAAGTCACATTGCAGTTGAAGGTCAGCCCAGCTTTCCGGGCAGCATTATGAAGGGCCATCTCATTGCTGTCCGTGGGACTTAGTGATTCTGGCAGGCTGCATTGAAAGAGAAAGTTGATTTTTTACAAGTTATTGCAAAAATGCATACCCCATAAAACATGGTGCCTTATGAACGCTTCCATTATGGCAACCTTTTTTGGACAAGATACTTCTTGAACACATCAGACTCCAGAAGCTGTCCCACTTGCCGAGCATGGGTTGCAGTGGAGTTGCCAGCACCAACCCCCATAGCCAACCTGCATGCAAGGTTGCTCCAGCTGATGCAACAAACAAAACTTATGACATATGCGAAGTATATATATATATATATATATCATACATATATATATATATATTCATTTTTATAAAATCCATATATATATATATATATCATATATATATATATCATATATATATATATATCATATATATATATGCCGCAAATGCGTGTGGACTTTGATGGCAATCAATATTTATATATCTATATATCTATATATATATATATATAGATATTACACATATTCTTTATAAGATACATATGTGCCCCAAATTTTGTGGCCATCAAAAATCATAGGGCCGGTACGCCCAAGAAAAAAATAGAAGCTACATATATAGATTTTGTGTTGAATATATGTACACATATATATATATACATATATATATATATATGTAGGGAAATTTTGGGGAAATGAGTCAAAACTATGTGAAATTGAATGCATACCAAGAAGCAGCGTGTCCAGGGTGTCCACATCTGCACGGCGATGCGAAGCTGAAGATGCTGTGGCACCTGCGTGGGCTGGGGCACTCAAATCATGCAGGGGAGCCATGTCCATTCATTGCATAATGGGAAAGGACGCAGCTCCGATTTTTCTCTTCCACGGTGCATATCACCGAGCGCAAGTCACCAAGACCATCCAGACAGTCCACCTAATCCCAATGAAACCAATGATCTTGTAAAAAAAAACAGTCTTTTGAAATCTGTTAGAATATGTTGCGCGAATCGGGCATGGACTGCACTTAAAGTTTGACATCACATCTAATGCCGCCAGCTGCATGCTGATGCGGCCAATGAAAGCTGGATTGAGACACCTTGGCATATATACAGCCTCCCTGCAGGGCCTCCCAAATGAATCTTGTATATGTGTCAAAATAATCACATATGCAGAAACACCTGCATGGTATTTCAGTTGGCCCAGCCCCACAAGGCTTACGGCACGTATATAGCATATAGATATCTACCCAATTGAGCGCAAGCTTCTCCAACTAGTCAATATTTTGTCAGAAGGTCTTTGTTGGTGATGGGCCCAAGATTGAAACATATATTGATTGGATTGCTTCGCTCACCCCATCCAAAATGGGCGCACTTGGCCCGCTGCACTGGCACTTCAGGCCGATCGCATCTTTCTCATTTCCATCAAGATCGCTTTCGCCTGGGCCTTGACAAGCCGGCATTCAGCGACCTGCGGCAGGGTTGGGCAAGTATATATATATATATGTGTGTATATATATATGTGTATATATACATATATACATATATATATACAGATATTAGGGGAACATTTCCAAGTGAGATTATGTGAGACGTGTCTTACTTGCATTTAGCAGCAATACATAGCAATACACATATGACGGAAAACCAATCCACCATTGCATGGGATCATGACCAGGAATTTATATTAATGAAATCCCATGGAAGCCAAAGCAATGGGAAAAAACAAAAGAACCACAGCACATATGGCCTCATTCGCCCATTCGTTCTTGATGTCTTCCATGTTGGGCTCGTCATTCACAGATTTGACCCTTGGATGCTGCGACATTGCAATGTGTGTGTATGTGTGCGCGCAAACCATATATTATGTAAACCCAAATCTAAACCCATATTTAATAACCCAAGGGTCTCCTCCAACAGCTCTTCAAATCGGACCTTGTACTTGATCAAAGTAGTCTTGATGGCATTGCCGGGCGGCATCTCCAGGGCAATGTCAGCAATCTGACGAAGTTCCTTTTTGAGGGAAGCACCTCAGTAGGTCCCACTTGTCAGACTACTTACTGGGTACATATAGCCTACATAAGATGGAGAACTTATGGAATTCCATTCGCTATACATTCCTAAAAAAAAAGTGCGATCTTCTTTGAAATGTTCCCCCCGCCATCGAAAATCTTGAATTAGTGGTGGACTCATGTAATTAATAAGGGTTTCAACTCGTGTCCATTGCTGTCAAAAGGTTCGCTCGTTAAGAGTGTTTATCTCCAACTAGATTCGTAAGGAGTTCAATGCATCTAAAACTTATCCTCTTTCAAAACGACTCAATACATCCATAATAGAAAAGAGTACGATTCAAATCAATCTACTTTCAAACAAACCAATCAATTGATATGCAAGGGGTTCAACTGATGCCAATCTACTTTCAATTCGTTTTCCTTGTCACCCTGATCTATAAATCAAATGATAAGTACGAAGATCATTTGATATCAATCCACTTCAAATTGAATTTCCCTTGAAATCTGACAGAAATGTAAAGATAAGTAAGGACTTGAAATTCATAATGGTGCCAAGATAAGCAAAAGACCGCCAAGTCAATGACCAAGAGATTTATGAACTGTTCCTCGAAGAAAAGTTGCACACAATAGGGAGCCACCCAAACAAACCGACTATTGAAGATCATGAGTCTCATGAGCAACCCTTTTGAAAAATGTCTGGGTGCTTTTGATTGTTAAGAATGAGGAAATTGATAGTTTAGTGAGTTGGCACCCTGAGGATTCCAGATGAATGGGGATACACAAAATAGAAAGCTCTAGTACAGGAAGCGATCCAGGGGTTCATGATTTTTGTCAATCCAAAACAACTTGTATATAACAAAGAAAACCACTCATTGAAGATCAAAACATTGCATTTTGGTAAGCTTGGCATGATTTGACAACTGCTTTGAGAAGAAGCACATAATACCGGCCCATCCCCATTAACACCCAGTTGCAGGCAAGTTGCTAACTTCAACTTTCACCTGGTCCAATGTTTTGGCTCCTTCTTCCACCACAGCGGCACCAGGCATAGATTTCGCCTTTGCCTTCGCCTTGCCCTTGGCCTTCGCCTTGGCCTTCGGGGTGGGCTCCGTAGTTCCTGACCGGCAGGTGATAGATTGGAGGGATAAAAATATGTATTTACATGTTTATACATATTTATATATATATATATGTCAACATGCATGTCAATACAAAAAAGCCAGAATATATAAGAATATACTTTTACATCACATAATCAATGCAAGCCTTTGTGCATTATATATGTGTGTGTAATTACACATATTAAGACTGATAGTAATAGATAGATATATAAATATATATGCATATGTTTACCTATATATACATATATATATATTACATGAAAAGAATTACATATAATGTGTATCAATATGTTTGTATATATGTTTACATGAAATTGCATGTGTATATATATATATATACATATGTCCAATATGTATATATATATATATATATATGCATATATGTATATATATATATATGTGTGTGTATGTCTACATTTAGAGTAATATTATGTAACATTAGATGTCTATATGTACCCCGCATCTACCCAAAAAGTTTGGTTTAGTATTTGCACATATTCCTTTCATAAAGTGGTGGTTCAACAGGACTTCTTAAGAAGCACAAATGTATGATAGTTCAACCCAGCTGTCCTGGGGGAGCCACAGCAGATGGTGCAGCTGCAGCTACGGCCGGCTGATTCATCAGCTGGTTCATTGCTGCAGCATTGAGGGATCCTTGTCCAGCTTGCCCCAAAGAGCTATCACCAAACAGACCGTCCATGAAGCTTCCATCAGCTTGAGCTTGAAGAGTTGCAGAAGCCCTCTGGCTAAATCGCTCCTGGTCCGTCTGCTGCGTGGACACACAGCACCAGAACTTCATAAGTTCCGGGATCTCGGGGGCATCTTCGTCAGGCACCCCACCCCCACGTGCCACTATCGACCGAATTTTGCAATCCGGCCATCCCTTGGCCCTCATCTCCTGCACGCTCAGCAACTCCTTGGTGCGACCCACCGTGTGGTCTTTGGAGCGCTCCACAACCACCATGGCCTCAACCGCTGCCGGGTTGCAGCCAGATTCCACCCATTGTCGAAGTAGTCGTCGACGGTCCTGCATGCCATTGGACAATTGCATACCTATATATACCCTACATGTTACGTAAACTACATGTACTCAAGTCTCGTATATATAATATTCTTTTATGTAAATATGTGCAGTAATGCCATAAACATTATCCACCCATGTGCACTGTCCTCCTTTGAGCCTTCATTGAAGAGCTTCTTCATGTGAGGGAACCGGTCACCTTCTGCACTTTCTTCCAAGAGCCTCTTGAGTCGCATGCCCTCTTTTTTATGTGTGCTCCAATCCAACTTGGCAGTGGCAGGGGCCAGATTCGCCGTCGGAGCTGCAGCCTGCGCCAAGGCCAAACGCTGCTGCTCACGAGCTTTTTGGGCAGTCATCAAAGCTTGAAGCCCATTCAGCTCCAGCGTCCGATCTGGTGGGGCCAACTGTGACACCACCTCAGCTGGCACAGCTGGCGTGGGTGGATCCTCAGCCAAACTTGGAGCAGCAGGCTCAGAGGGCGTTACCTTGGCCAACATTGCCAAATCAGCATTGGAGTTCTTCTGAATGGGGGCAGCCACTGGTGCAGGCTGTAGTGCTGGAGCATGTGCAGCTGCATTCTCTGGAACCTTTGGAGGCTCAACCACCGCAAGCTCAGCCACAAGCGTTGCCGCTGGTGCAGTTGAAGGCACTGCCACCACAGGCTCCACAGGCTTTGGGACCATCTCTGGAACCTTTGCAGGCTCAACCAACGGTGGTGCCGTTGGAGGCACTGCCACAGGCTCCACAGGCTTTGGGACGATCTCTGGAACCTTTGCAGGCTCAACCACCGCTGCAGTCGCAGCCGTTGGCACTGGTGGGGTTGGAGGCAGCACAAGCTTTGGGGCCATCTCTAGACCTTTTGCAGGCTCAACCACCACAGCAGTTGCAGGCTTTGGCACTGGTGCAGTTGGAGGAGCAGGAGGCTTTGGGGGCATGATTGGTCCAGGGGTCGAAATCTTCTTGCGATTTGCAAGCACCATCTCTTCCACCATGGTGAAGAATTCCACCCTGGCACAATCAGGCAGCTTCGCAACGTCGATCGTTCCAGTTTCACCTTTGCAAGAAGCAGCGACCATGAATTTCTCCATCGAAAGCAGCTGCATGATCTGTTCCTCATGGAGCTCCTGGCAGAGGTTTTCAGCATGCTGGATCCCCTGATCGATATCCATCAACTTCCAATCCTGCTTTGCAGGCTGCACATGCTGCTTTGAAGGCTGCACATGTGATCCTGCATGCTTCAACAAGTCTTCACGTTCCATGGCAAGCTTCTCGGCTTTCTCATCCTCAGCAGGTGGCACCATCACAAGTGCACCCAGTGAGCCACCAACCTCTGGCTCAAGATGAATTGGCTGACTGCCATCTCCATCAACCAGAGTTCCAGGAATTGTCTCTGCAGGGGATTCCGGCGGTGCAGTGAATTGATTACTCTGGGCATCTTGGAAATACTCAGCTTCCTTTGGCACCACCATGACCTGCAGGAGATTCAAAGTTAATTACTGGGAAAAAAAGCAAACGAGTATCTATGCATGGTGGAAACATGCATTCAGGCAAGAGGCAGAGTCAGATTCAGCAGCTGCAATGGAAGCTGGAGTCAAAGGCGCAGCTCGTTGCAAAGGCGACGGGGCACTGGCAACCTCTTTGTTTGCCACCTGGGCCTCAAGCATCTTGATGCGCTCCATGGCAGCAGCTAAGGCCAGCATTTCTGGCTGCTCTTGGCTTCCTCCCAACCTGCGCTGGCTCAAGTGGAAAAGTCAGTATATATATATATATGTATATAAATATATATATATATATGATCAATATTAGTATTAGTAGTATTATACGCATATATATATATGTTTATTTATTTATTTAGATTATTTACCTATTATATGTATATATATATATATTTATTTATGTATTATAAGCTAAAATATATTGTATGGGAGCCATTCCAAAAAAGTGGAGCGAATGAAACTCATTTTTTGTGTCCTTCAATTTCACCCCTTCAATTTCAGGACAGACTGAGGTAAGGATCAAACCCTTGTACTAAACCATATTTTTGCAGGGCCACCCCAACTATATATAGCAAAGCACACACCCCATGAAATCCGATGAAATTTCAAGGGTCATTTTTGGATAAGTTGACAAACCCTATAGGGTCTAACATTTAACTGATGATCAGCACTAGATGCAGCCAAGGAGCGGCAACGTTGTGGCTTCTGACACAGAATCCACATCCTTCGCCGGCTTTGGAGGACACTGCACATTCAGCAACTCAAGCGCGTTCTGCAGCGTGTTGCAAGACCTGCGTTGTTTTTCAGTTTCAGCCATTTATTTCCTTGTATATTTACATAGCCTGTGCATAATTATTGAGCATATAAATGCATTCAATCAGACATACACCCATAAACCTTGCTTCAAGTACACATATCAGTCTGATTTAAATGCATCCAAGCTGCCATTGAGACTGAGACCCAGGGTCATCATGAGACACATCACCACGGGACACAGTAGGAGCATCTGGAGCCACAGCAGGTTTTCGGGCAGGGAGGGACTCAGCAGGTGAAAGGTTACCAGTCGTTTTTTTCACTGCAGGAGTATCCAAACTGGTGACCGCTTCAACAGGTTCCGCAGAAACAGGTGGTTTGCGAACCCTAGTCGGCTTGAGGTTGGCTGAACTCCCTGGCATATCCCCAGTCAAAGCATCTGCAGGTGTAGGCAAAGGTTCAGCTTCGGGGGGTGTCGTCTCTGCTCCCTTTGCCGCCTTTGCCTTAGCTTTGCTCTTTGCTGCAGTCTTTGCTCCGGCTTTCGGCTTCTTAGGTGCATCTTCCTGAGGAGTCTGTGCTGACCTCTTCGATGCCTTGCTTCTGGGAGTCACTGTCGAAGCATCTTTGCTCGTCTTTGGTTTCTTGGTCTTCGGCTCCTTTTCATTCTGCTTAAGTGCTGTCTTCTTGGTCTTTGGTTGGCTTTTCGGGGCACATGCAGGCTTCTTCTGATTCTTGACAGGCGTCTCATCTTCCTGATCTGCATGTATGCATGTGTACAACATCCAATCAGATCAAATATTGTATTGTATGACAATGAACTCCAACTGACATCATGGATCACACCAATATGGATTGTGTGATGTGACAGTGAAATCCAACTGACATTGATAGAATATTGAGGTTGCCAAGTCACATCATAGTCATCAGGACATGGTCCAAGTACTTGTGTCAGCACCCGGTCAGTCTCCGTCTCACTGAGTCCTAGCTCTTCTTGCACCACATAGAAATGATCCCATGTGAGCTCAGCCAGGGGAAAAGACAAATCTTTAAGGGACATGGCGCGCCCTGATCCTGCAACCAGCTCTAAATCCAAGCAGCTGCAATACATATGCACATGACGTGAATCTAGGGCATGCCAGCTGCCACATGCAGGTTTGCACACACATTCAGAAAGTGTTCACATTTTTCACAAATTTTCACGGTCTGAGTGTTCACGTTTTTCACGGTCCTTTCACGGTCATTGGGCCTCCTTTCACGCTCAAATCACGTTTTTTCACGCTAGCAAATTTTCATCCAATTTGCACACCAAAGTGAAACTGTGGCAGCATCTGATTGCAGATGATATCTGCAGATTGGGCAGATACCTGGGGCAAGTGCTTCAAATCCAGCTGCTGCAGGATATCGGCCTGAGCTTGTCGAATGCTGGGCACTCAACTCATGCTGAAGTTGCTGCATGGTGGCCCCCAAATCACTGAGTTACCCACCCATCGGCCCCGAGGGTCCAAGTACTTGCACCCAGCCAAATAGCGGAGTAGCTTCGGAAGTTCTGCCTAGGATCAAGGGGCAATGTTGACAGAAGTGATCAGACATACAATATATATATATATATAATATACATGTATAAAGTGTGATTTGTTTAGGTATATGCAATTTCTATACAATTATATATTTGCACATATATGCACATATTTTGCATGTGCATATTGCTATTGGATTCCCCACAAAACGGAATCATTGATATAGCCATTTCTTTTTCAAGCCACATTGCCATTTCCCCTGCCCTTGCTTTCATGTGACTACCAGTGGCCATGGACCCTAGCTTGGCGTGGATGCAATCATTCCTTGAGCCTTGAGCCTTGGGATGACCAAGCACCTTGACCTTTACTAGCAGCTGTTGCAATGTAATTTGAACGCTTGGGGATTAGGACTTGGACTGGGCTGGACTGGCTATATAGTCTGTAGACTATAGGCTAAAGAGACTCAGACTGTTGGCCTTGGCTATCCGCCCTACCGATCTGACACATATGACCATCGAGGCAATTTGTTAGCAGACAACGACGCGACCATTGAGTTGATCAGCTTTTCCTGTGAACCTGGTTGCAAACAATGGGGCCGTGCCTTCATCCAGCAAAGTGATGTATCCCGGCAATACATATTAACAGACTTTTCTGACTGTTTGCTGGACTTCATACTGTACTGTGACATCCTGTACAGAAATTTTACATGTATACTGATATACTGATACTGATACTCTATATATATATTGTAGTGTCGCTAGACCTGAAGCCTATCGTGAGTACTTGAGTGCAAGTTTTGGACTGAAGCTACTTCTGGGGAGGCCTGAGCTATTTCCACCCACTTCACCTGTGATGATCCATGCGATTCACCTGATTCTCCCTCGCTCGTAGACCCTGATTCAACATGGACAGATGTGACGGACGATCTGAAGTGTGAAGCCTCATCGGATTTACTTGCTGACAATCCTACTGGATCTCGAGAGGAATGGGTGCATCCTTCCCTTGATTTTTTGATAAGAACCAAGTTTGAAGAAGCTTGGTTCTCACTTCTAGTGACTGCAAGCACGATCGCACAGCAATGCTGAGACATAAATCATGGCGATAAAAGAGTTGTGGCCAAAAAGCACGCAATCAACATGAAGGTACATCAGTGTTGGTTCAAATCATCAGAAGTTAAATATCCAATTTACATACTTCAAATTGCAGTCAAATGCTGCCAAGTCACATCAGGCCAGAGGTCACCCAGGCAGCACGTGTCAGCAGTGCCAGTAGGGCAGAAATATTTCAAGAAAAGTTCTGCATCACCCGATGTGACATCAATGTCCATTTCTTCCCGAGGTGGTGCCAAGGGTTCCTACGCGATCAATCCAGCTCTTTCACACGCAGGACACCACAGCTATAGCTGGGAATTTCAACAATATCGGAAAGAATGTTCATTGAGCACATATATACTTATATATACTGTGTATGTATATATATATATATATACGTGATCACATACTATGAATATATATATATATATAGATAATAAATCATGTATATATATATATATATATACGTGTGTGTGGACATGTGTGGGTGCACACACATATTTGATGAGGGAAACATGTTTGATCTCCACTGGCAACGCGCCCATGCCTTGAGACCTTCCATAGCCAATCGGGCAATGCATTGGCCAAACGCTGGAGTGTAGGACCTAAGGTGCCCATATTTATGTGGAGTACAGCTGGGAAACAACCACATCACAGCTTAAACTTGCAGCGTTGATTATAACACATATGTTAGAGTTAGAGTCGAGACACTGGCTTGATCGAAGGCGGCCTGGCACACCAACATGTCGTCGTTTTCCATTCTTGTCCATATACTTTCGTACAAGCCCATGTTCTGCACCAGGTAAAGCTTGAAGTGCAGCCCTGGTCATTTGCCCACCTGCACAGTGGCAGCTATGACCAGATGAGGACAGTGGGACAGAGATTTGGGATAGTTAATATGTGGGATAACCAGACCTCGCCTTGTTGAACAATCTCTTCCAGCAGTCCCTTGTCATTGTTCCATAGGCGATGCCGCTTTGCCGTGGCTCCAGAAAAGGCACCCATCCAAAATGACCCAGTGTACACCTGGTTAATTCCGTACATGTATCAATGTAGGCACACAAGAAGATGCACATTCACATATGTAAGCAATACTGCACATTATATTGCATGCCAAGGGACTCGTACCAGCATCAGCACTTGTTGGAATCTGGGGTGATGACGCAAACTGCTATTTTCTGGCTGCTCCACTACAAATCGCAATCCACGAACACAGCATATGATGAGGCATAGGCACAGTCGTGAACACAGTAGGTTCCCAATTTGGACGAAAGAATACCCTTGGTTGCCCAAATAATCATTCCAGATATCTCGGCCAGCAGTATGGGATGACCTGAGTTGAAAACAAATCATTATCATTCGAATGGGTTGCACATGCAAGCCAATAATGCAAGTGAAATGGCAGTGAAAAAATGGTCCAAGCAACATCCGGGTGAAAGAATTGCAGCAAATAGCGAAGAGGCACATCGCACCAGGCTTCGCATTCCAAAGCTCATTGAGTACCAACCTCAAATTTTGGGATACAGCAACTGCATGCAATAGAACTTTAAGCTGTTAATTTACCAGCAGAGATGCAAAGTGTAATATAGCTGAAGCCAAGTCACGCGAATCCATGGGGGCTGCAAAAATCCATAAGATTGGAATATCTCAAGTCATGAGAGCTCCCTTTCAAGCCAGCTCCCCACAGAGCAAGAGAAACTTCGCCATCTCCAGCAAAGCACTCCACAAACTCCACATCAAGACGCTGGGGCACACGGGAGTTCGAAGTGAGCAGCACAATTGCCAGAATTAGGGCAGCCGGCGCCTTCCATCGGAGCATCTCAAAAACGACCATGGTGAATCTTAAGGGGTTGTAAGTTGTAAATGTAAAAGTGGTATATTTGTTTTGCATACATATAATGCATGGAAAATAACACAACACTTTCGAGCCAATCTTGCTGTTGAATCAGAAATATACTGGTCAGTTTAAATCTGTAGCCATGCAATGCACAGGTGGTTCCATCGCATGACAGGAAAGCACTTCCATGTAACTTGGTAAAGCTGCACATGCGCCCTTTTCTATGGTGCTTCTGCGACGAATGCAAAGCCAATTAGGGTTCGACACCACACATGCATGTAGCATGTATGCAAGCGTCATGGAGCTGCAAATAAGTTGTCACTTTCTGACATCATGCATGCAGGACAGCCATGGACCTAGCCGTTGACCAGGCGCAAGACCGGGGGCACAAATCCAATATATATATATATATATATATATACAATATTTTTTAAAATACATATACATGTATAGAAAGATTTGTGGTTGTCAGATTTTTCCTTCTACTTTCAACTCAACATCTTTCTAGGCATCGGTCCATGGATTCTTTTCGCATTCCTTTGGAACAAATCTTCTGCGCTTCAATTCATTCAATGGCACATTGCACAGAAGTTGTCTCTTTAATTTCGAATTATTCCAATCCTCTATCGCAGACTTGTATGATGCCCCGTCATTCCTCAGCTTGTCAATGAAATCTTTCCTCAGCAACGTATACCGATGGGGGCTGTACTCCTCAGTCTCCAATGGTTCAGCCACTGGCTGCTTCGCAGCCTTGGCATCGCAGAGTCGGGCAGGACCCTTTTTGGTCGTTTTCTTCTTCTTCCTCTTGGTCTGCTTACGTTGGGTCGTCGCCTGAGCTGGCTTTTCATCCTCACCTTCATCTCCATTCTCTTCATCATGGGCAGCTATGTTTTTTTTGTACTGGGCATTCTGGGCAAACGGTACAGGAGCTGGCTTGGACAGCGACTCTTTGAGAAAGTGAAGCACCTTAAGCAACAAGTTCATTCAAGGGTTCCAGTCAAAATCAGTGATAAGCTTGATGTATATAAATATATGTGTTTCTTGGGCTTGGTCGGAAAATATTTCTTGGTTTTTCTAATTTTTACATATTTTGTTTCTTGGGACCAAGTTCACAAGATATCTTTTTACATACATATATACATGTATATATATATATATATATTTGTATATATATATATCAATCCATCGCCAAATATTTCCAAGTAGCATGGTCAGGTAGTACGGCAGAGGGCTTGTCAGGTTTGCCAGGCTTGGTCATTCCATGCATCTTAGGCTTCTCCAGGTTGGTCTTTCCAGGTTTCTGAGGCTCAAGGTGTTCGGTCTTCTCAGGTTTCCCA